CTCAATCATTTGGCCACCACAGAGGCTGCGTGGACAAGAGCAGGTGACTCAATGTTCTGATTCAGCCAAGTAATCTGTGAGCGGTGACATATCATTGTCAATTGAAGACAAGCCTTTGATCAATAGGACTGGACCCTGCACCCAGATGTGTGATTAGGGATCAAAGGAGAGGGCAAAGGATTCAGTTACTGCCCAAGAACACATTCTCCAAAGCTGATTCATATCAGCCACTGAGATTAGGATACAAAGCACTATAGAAAGCCCAGTAATCAATAAAATCTAACTATCAACCATCAGACCTTGAAATTTGTAGATAACGTATTCATGATTTCTATTTTAAGTGCCTGCTCACCTATCAGTCACTGAAACTAACATCATTCCTCTTTTCACTCCATCACCAGACCTCCCTTTTCTTAATATTCCATCTAGATATGCTTCTACATGAAATCGAACGGTGAGGTGCCATTGGGGCAGCCCTCCAGTAACAGGAGGCACCTCTCTGAAGAAAGACAGAATGATCATTTCCTTTCACAAGAACTATCATCACAGCCCTAGCCAGATAGCTCAGGTGGTTAGAGAGTCGTCCGGATACACTAAGGATGTGGGTTCGATCCCCTAGTCAAGGTACGTACAAGAATCAACCAATGAATGCATAAATAAGTGGAACAATCGATGTCTCTCGCTCTGTAAAACATCAATAAAAGAAAAAGTGAACTATCATCACAGTATCTGTTAGGATACTTTTCTTATTAAAACACAAAAGACAAAAATCAAAATGTTTCAAGCATGAAAAAGAACATAAAAATTCCCTTAAGATTCTAATTTTAATGGTAAAATAAAGAAACTTAATAATGTATAAATAGTAAGTAATCATAGACTAATGCTGAAAAGAATTACAATTGCCCACAGACTTAAAAACAAAAATTCTATTTCACACTACTTTTCTACTGACTTTTATTTTTAAAAAATGAAAACAAGTTTTATGTTCTGTTCAATAAAAAATAAAATGACATGGCAGTGACAAGCAAAATCAGACTCTCAAACTATGAAAGACAATTAACTTACCTAATTACTTTCAAGAATGTCTAAGTTTCAGTATACTAAAGTTCTGCGCATTAAAGTTAATACGCGTTAAGTAAAACTCATTTTGAACTCCCATGCACAATACAGAATGTATTCATAAAATAAAAGTGCGCCTTTATTTTATTTTTCTGTAAAATAAATAGTGACTTTCAGGTGTTCGAAGAAAAAGTAATCAAATAGGGGAAGAAGACCATGTGATTATTTTTAATCATATATTACGTGGGTAGAAATAATTGATTTAAAATATAAATGGCTGAGAGTTATGAACAAAGCTGATAATCTACACATCTAACTTGTCAATCTAGTGACTAATAATTGGAAAACCATTTGAAATTAAAAACCAGAGCTGAACCTTGTTTACTGAAACAACATTACTGAAGTCAAACTTTGGGTTAAGTTCACATGTGGCTAGTCATAGTCCTCTATCATACAACCACTTTTAGTACATCTAACTAGCTACTTATCAAAAAAGTAATAACCTGAGTCACAAGATGGAATAAAAAAAATGAGCCACAGAAGTGTGGGAGCCAATACTAAATGCCATTCAAAGTACATGGCCCAAGATGGCTGGCAAACACTAGGAACAATTTCCCACCACCAAATTTCTAAAAGGCAAGGAGCTTTTCTATTGTATTCACTGTTCTATCCCTGGTGCCTAAACACTGCCTGCACACAGTAAGCTCTCAATAAATATGTGTTGAATAAAGTGTCCTATCATCTGGCATCTCAATCAAAGGGGCTGAAGATACTATGTTCAAGATAGAATTCTGCACTAATACTTAATTCTACTTTATTTGATTAACCCCCTTGCCTCCGTGTTTCAAGTTCCTCATCTATAAGATGTGGAGTTTGAAGTAATTCAGTGGCTTTCAAACTGTATTCATCAGAGCCCCAGGCTTATGAGAATCTGCTTTATGAGCCACTGCTGGAGATACAATAGGAGGTGGGGAAGGGCAAGCAGACAGAGTTCTGGAACATCTTCTCTAGTTTTGAACAAAGAAACTTTATGTTTATCTAATTTATATATTGTGTGCTTTGTAATATTTCAACTTACCTCCCAAGTATCTATTGTTATTGGTAATACATTCAATAGGTTAAAAAAAAATCTTGCGAAATTAGAAAATAGTTCAAGATCTCACTTACAAGAGGAATTTAATGAACAACAACAACAACAACAACAAAAAGCTAACAAGCAAATGGAACCAGAGACATGGAAACATGGAACAGACCAACAGCTGCTAGGGAGAGGGGGATAATGGTGAAAAGAAGGGGAAGGGATTAGTCCAAGAACAGGGATGAGACAAAGGCGTGGGGATTGACAGTGGGCGGGGCGGGGGGCTGGGTGGAGGAGGGCAAAGGGGGTATAATTAGGACAACTATAATAGAATAACAATTTAAAAAAGAAAATGAATATTAAAAAACATAGGATTCAGCTGAAAGCAATGATTAAGGGAAATTTATAGCTATGAATGCCTATAACCAATAAAGAAGAAAATCTGAAATCAATAACCTAATCAATAAACCTTCTACTTGAATATATGGGAAAAGAAGAGCAGCCTAAACTTTTTAAAGAAAGTAGAATGAAAAAATAATAAAGACTGAAGGAGAAATTAGTGAAATATATAAAACAATACTAGAGAATATCACTGAAACCAAAAGCTACTTCTCTGGAACAATAACAAAATTAACAAAACTAGCTAAATGGACCCCCCCCCCAAAAAGGAGAAAATATTCAAATTATTAGACTCAGAAATGAAAGTAGGGGCATTGCTTCTGTCTTACAGAAATAAAATGGAATAGGAAAGAATGTTATAAACAATTGTCAAAACTTAGAGAACTTAATAAATAAAAAAATTTTATTTCAGAAGGGATGATGTAAGACCATCTCTAGATATAAATGACATTATCTTGTATGTAATAGAAAATCCTAAAGAATGCAGTAAAACATATTAGAATTAAAAAATCAGTTCAGCAAGGTTGCATAATATAATTTCAGTATTAAAATCAGTTTTTCTATACACTTACAATAAACAATACAAATAAGAAATTTAAAACACAATTTCATTTACACTATTATCAAAAAGAATAAAATACTTAGTAATACATTTAACAGAAGAAGTGCAAAACTTACACTCTTAAAACTACAGAACTGTCAAAACTTAAGGAATATCTAAAAAAGGGAAGAAACATTGCATGGTCACGAATCAGAAGGCTTAATATTATTAAGATGTCAGTCCTCCCCCAAACTGATCCACAGATTCAATGCAATACCTATCAGAAAGCCAGATGGCTTGCTTATAAAAATTGACAAGCTGGTTTTAAAATTCATGTAAAATTATAAGAATCTCAGAACCAAAACAATATGGTTTCAAAAGAATAATGTGGCAGGACTTCATGCTTTCCAATTTCAAAATTTACCACAAAGCAATAGTAATTTTAAAAAAGTGTCATGTGGATAGACATATAGATCTGTAGGGTACAAAAGAGAATTCATAAATAAATAATGTATCTATGGTCAACTAATTCTCAGTAAGGGTGCCAAGATCATTTAACACGCAAAGAATAGTGTTTTCAACAATGGCGAGGAGACCACCAGATAGCCACATGCAAAAGAATGAAGTTAGTTAGACCCTTAATTCAAAAAATATACAAAAGTAAAAATAAATCAAAGACCTAAATGCCAGAACGAAAGCCATAAAAATATTAGAAGAAAACAGAGACCCTGAATTTAGCAATGGAGGCATGGATATAATGTCAAAAGCAAGAGCAATAAGAATGACAAAATTATATAAATTGAACTTCATGAAAATTAAAACCTTTGTGCTTTAAAGGATACTATCAAGAGAGTGAAAAGGCAACCAACAGAATGAGGAACACTGTTTGAAAACCATCTATCTGAGAGGGGATTGCATTTAGAATATAGAAAAACAGTTGCAGCTCAATAATGAAAAGACAAACCAACTCTAAAAAATGGGCAAATTATCCGAATAGACATTTATAACATGGCAAATAAACACATGGAAAGATGCTCAACATCGCAAATCTCCTAGGAAGACAAAATAAACAGGTTTACTGTATCTCATAATTTTTAACCACCATTTTTGATATAGAAATATTTTATACTTATCACAAAGCCAAAGGCAAATATCAAATGACAACTTAACAAAACCATAATTAGCAATAACATAACTTAGAATCCATGACACATGGTACACTGTAGGATCAGCCCTAATAAAAAAATATATTCCTCTTATTATTATTCATCGGTTTGGAGACAAGAGAAAGAAAAATGTAAATTAATTTTAGCACTTTACACTACTTAGTCACATTGTTTTTATCTTAGCACTTGTATTTAATAATGTAATGTATTAATATTCTATTAAATCTGGCTTAGTCCTTCCTAAACACAAATCAAAACAAAGGGACACCAGGAGACCAAGAGTTAGGTCCTCAACTAATAAAGGGCCTAGTCCATATCAAAGATAAATTACTCATGAGTGGTAACTGTTCTCCTCTGAGATGCTCTTGACTTCAACATCCCCCACCCCTTTTGGGTCAGCCCAAGCCACAACTCCAGCAAAACTTTTGTAACCGGGTTCACTGTCAAAGCAAGAGCTCACTTTTCTCAAAGGGCACTTATTGTCTTTAGCATATAGGTATTCTTTAACAAAGACAACTCTGCAAATTTCAGTACCAGTAATTAAACGCGCAAATTCAGTACTTAGATTAGTGTTATGTAGTTTGTTATTTATTTATAACACAAACTGTTAGCCAATAATTGGCATTTATGTAGCTAAATTATCTTTTCAAATGTATTATAAACATCCTATTAGTAGAGATGATCTGTTCTTTGTATTTTATTATTTCACAGTTCCTGCAGCGGTGCTAGATATTGCAATCCATATGTTACCGTGTACCTTTCTTATTTGCAGGTTTATGTCCCTCAGCCTGAATTTCCGGATACTGAGGAATGGAGATTTTCTTGGGGATTTCAAAATATGCTGGAAGGCTCACTTCCGTCAGGTATAAAATGGACTTAGGCTGCTTCAACTTTGAGATATTAAAGAGCCTAGAAGTCTGCAAATAAACAGAAAGAAAAATTGGAATGTAATTCTCTTACCCTTTAACTCTAAAACACAAAAGAGAGTATTATGTATTTAGACTCCACAGGTTGGAGAAAATCAACGGAGGATCTGAATTTGTTCATTCCTTTACACATGTTTTTATTTAATTGGTGAGAGACAACACTAAGGTGTCTCACAGAATCAACGCAGTCATCCTCTAAACCCTGTTCTAATCCTTTCAGCGCTGAGGAAGTCACTGCCCCCCGAGGAAACCACTGCATTTGTGAACAGCATTGAGAAAGTGCTTCCCTGCTTGAGTAGAACCCTGAGCACCTGAACATCTACCCATCAGTTCTAGTTCTCATTAACAGTATAGTTAGTCCCCTTTGTGAATGACAATTGTGTGGGGAAAAAGAAACAGAAATAAACACACACATAATACGAGATCCTGTCCCTCTCCAGACCTCCAAATATCTCTTTGAAGTAAGTTTGATATTTTTACTGCCTTCGACCATTATTTATATAATGGTGGTTACAACTCACCACCATGTATATGCTCCTCAAGACACAGTTGAGTGCAATACTGTGCTTCCTAAAACAGAACACTGAAGAGAAAGCCAGCTCTCTACGTGTCAACCAAGCAACGCAGAGCCCAGAGGTAGGCAATCATTAATGTTGATAAGGATGCTCTACTGTCAATAACAAAGTACAGCCCAATGGCTGGACTAAGCGTGTTCTCGGAGCCAGACTACCTGCATTTATATGTTACGAATCTAGTAAGATTGGCTTGGCTACTACCCAAAACCACAAATCTTTAGTTGTAAAACATGGGTGATAACAGTACACACTGCCGACCCCTGGTGTGTTTAAAGTATAAACTAATGCCAGGTGCTTGGAGCATATTTTAAGAATTCAATAAATGTTGGCTATCATCATTGTCATTGTCATCATTATTGTCACCATCAACATGATCATAATCATGGTATCATTACTTATCAAAAATAAATGTTAGCAATTTAATAAATGTTAGCAATAAACCTTTAGCAATTATCTCATTCACTGGGTTCATGATCTATAAAATCCGCAAGAATTTTTTTTTCCCACAAAGTCACATTTTCTACCTACTTTATTTTGGCAATTCAAATCATGTAAATGCAGACATTTAAATTAATTCAATTTAACGTTTATCAATGTTTGGGTTCGGTTCATTTTTCTGGTCATTGTGAATAACGAATCTATTCACATCAGCAACTAGCTCTTTATCCTAAACACATGTCTGCCTTCTAGATCTTCAAGTCATTCAAAATACTATGCATTGACACAGACTCTCTTCTTGACCAAACTCTAGCCATGCTCCTAGAAGCCCTCTTTTCAACTAGGCGTCAACCTTGGCGTACAAAAACTGCAGTCCCAGAAGTGGGCACGTACTAGAACTGAGAGGGGGTTGAGGGATGGGATCTGGATTTAACTGATGCTTATTTGCAGTTACTTTATGATCTCACTTATAAGTGGAACCTAATCAAGAAAACAAACAAGCAAGCAAAATATAACTAGTGACATTGAAATAAAGAACAAACTGACAGTAACCAGAGGGGAGGGGAGAGGGGGGTCACTGGGAAAGAAGGGGAAGGGTTGTCAAGGAACATGTGTAAAGGACCCATGGACAAAGCCACAGCGGGAAAGGATTGAGGGTGGGAGGTGGGGGTGTGTGAGGGGCAGGGCAAAGTGGTGGCGGGAAAATGGAGACAACTGCACTTGTACAATAAAAAAAATGAAAAAAAGTTTGCAATTATAAATACTTTCTCTCTCCTTTGAGATGGAAATCTTCTATCAACCAGAACTGTCTTCTCAAGAACCTCAGAACTCCCTCTTTGAAATGCAAACATTCAAGGAGATAATGCTCAGGCCAGCTGGGTACCTTGCTGCAACTTGCAGCACTACCTCTGGCATAAAAATTCCATTTGTTTGTTTCTCCTGCAGATAAGCATCAATGAACAAATCCAGATCTAATCCATTCATTCCCTTCTCCCGTCTTGTAAATGTTCACTTCAGTGAATCTGCTCAAGACCCTAGTCATTCTCCCTCCTTACTTTTTCTCATCCTCCCTTTAAAACTCCCAGTTACTGCTGCACCAATTGAAGTTTTGAGTTCATTTCATGCTGGATCCTCCTCTCTGCTGCTACAGTTTACTGAATCAACTCTGTCTCTTTACTGCTTTAACTTATACCCAGTTGTATCTTTCATACTATCAATATGAATACTTCATGACTGTAAGGGTACTTGAATTATACAAGTACAAAAAACTTTGTCTTTACCCTTTCGAATCCTCACCAAGGAGATCTTTCAGATTTCCTTTTTAAAAGATATCAAATTTTGAAATTCCTATGATTTTTCCTGCCATTTATTCTGCAGTACACAGCATGGGTTCTAAAACATAAACATGAGGAAGCTAATAGAAAATATAAGAAACCTTCCCTGTAGGCCCTGAATCTTTCTAGGATCACTGAGTCTACCATTAAAGTTATTTTATTTATGGCCAGAGAATATGAATGCAATAAATGAGTGCTCAGGGAAATGTCAGAAATTCATGCTCCTGACAAAAGATCGTGCCTCTTACAGCAGCAGTCCCCAACCTTTTTGGCACTAGGGATCAATTTCTGTCTCATAGAAGACAATTTTTCCAGGGACCGGCAAGTGGGGGGTGGTTTCAGGATGATCCAAGTGCATTACATTCAAGCTCACCTCCTGCTGTGTAGCCTGGTTACTAACAGGGCCGGTTACTAACAGGTACCAGTCTGTGGCCTGGAGGTAGAGGACCCCTGTCTTAGAGTATATGGAGACACCATGTGGCTATTACCCTATAAATATTTCACAATTCAAATTTCACATTGTTGTATAATACATGTCACTTTTCTACATATATCCAATTAGATTTAATTTGAACAAATATATGTCAAGGCTGATTTTAGATTTCGTTATACAGTTATTTTATGCTATAACAGAACACTCTAGACTTTCATTTATTGCACTGTACAAGTTCACGTTGGTAGACTAAGAAGTGGACATATGATCTGGAGGCTATACAGGACAAGGAAAAGAGCATTAGACTGGGAGGTGAAAACCTGGGCCCATTTTATTCTGCCATAAATCACTGGTATGAACTTAGGGCATTATCTTACTATTTCAGGGTCTTGGTTTACCAGTCTGTAAGAGTAAGAGGTTGGACGATGTGTCTTTGATTTGTTCCCCAACTTTAAAATACAATAATGTCTCTGCCCTCATCTGGGTCGTAATCTCTGCCCAGTCACTGAGAGCAACTAAGGTCTTTTTATGCCTTACTCATTCCATTTTTTTTGTATTGTAAGTGCAATCCTATCTGCTCTAAATTTCTTTGAGAGGTAATCAAAATAATTTGAAAAGTGCACATAGAAGCATTTTGGGGAAAAAAGGTGAGGGTATTTTAAAAATGTATCTTGTTTACGGTTCTGCTGCAAAAAAAGTATTAGCATTATTGTATTTCAAGAGTGCACTTGACTTGAAAAGAAACCTTTATGACTAGATTTATGTAAGCACAATAAGATGTGTCTGTAAGTTCTGATTTGGAGTGGCTGGTTTTCTTAAATTGACACATTCAACCCTTCACTGTTTTCTACACTTAAAGAGTTACTGCTGAAATAAAAAAAAAAATGCATCATACTCAGAAAATTCAATGAAAAAAGTAATCTTCAGGTGAAAAAACTTTCAATTTAAAATTTTAGAGACCACTTAAAACATTTCAAATTTAATTTTTAAAAAGCCAAAGGTTACTCATAAATTATCATTATCGTTACTATTCCTGCCAACAAATTCAGAGAAGTGCACGCTTATAGCCACTCATCCTGTGAATGGGAGAGGGAAACAAGGGTAAGGGAATCGCTCTGAAAAATCAGGCTCTGAGGCAACCTGGACGGACATCAGCCTATGCGATGAAGGCTTGAGGTTTAAAGCGGCATTCATTTGTTCAGGCCCTTGTTCAATGCAATGCAACAACGACAGCATCTCTCACACACAAGTCATTAAAGGGTAAACAATAAAACATGCAACAAAAGTTTTTCAGTCTCTAGGAATTCACATCCTAGAGAAACATGTACATATAAAAATAAATCTTGGACAAAACACAACTTGATAAATATAATAATTAAAACAAAAGGTGTGCTGGGTTGCAGGAAGAAAGCTAAGTGAAGAGAGGGAAAGATAGAAACCCTATACATGCAGAAATAACAGAAAGAAGGTTCACGGGCAAAACCCATCTCCTTCAAGCATTTTTCATTTAAATAATATGCATTGACAAGAGGTAAGAATGAAGAAAATGGATTTTAAAGGAAAAAGAGAGAGTGCACGTGCAATCCAATAGGTTTAAAGTTTGAAAAGGCCACATATTGAACATTTCTATTGTAATAGTGTCCTAAAAGTTGCAGACAAACCTTCCCAGATTCACTGTTCTATAGTGGAAGGAAGCATTTTGGTATGAGCTGAAGAGCGCCATCAGCTTCTTCAATGCAGTGTGGGTGGGTCTGTCCAAAGTGCATCACAGCCTTAAGCCTTGATTTTTCTGAGATAATCAACACTTTAAAATCCAATTCATCCATAATGTAAGCATCACTGTTAGAAAATCTGTGATTAGACTGTATGGATTATAGCATTCTGACAAAAAAAATTCATCCCTACAATGCCGAATATTTTGTCATGATGTATGTAAATGAAAGTAATTCTTAAACAAGGATGAAAATGCATCATTTATTCCTTCATTGAACAAAGGCTCTGGGACTACCTTTGGCAGGACACATACTTTTCTAGGCGCTGCTGATATGAGAGTTAAACACATATCTTGTCACATATTCCCAGGTGATAAATTTTATCTAAAATGAAAACTGAAGGAAATTTAGGATTTGGAGAGTACCTCGCAGAGGTAAGTGATGCTTTTTTAAAAAATGTTAGTTGGTAAAGCAGAATCTCAGGTATAGCATCCAAGCAGACCTGAAGACAATAAGGGAGGCAGCCTCTAATACCTAGAGAAGAGTAACAAAGGGAGTGCACGGGCCATGGGGAGCATACTTGGGCATTTGAAGAAAGCAAGGAGGCCAGCGCTGAGGAGATGACTGAGTGAATGGGCTCAGAGGAAATGCTGAGGTCAGGGAAGGAGGTGGAACTGACCGGGAGGGTCCCGAAGACCATCCTAAGGGTTTGCTTTTATTCTGACATGAACTGGCAAGGCCGTAGAGGAGCAACATGAACAGGTTCAGAGTTTAGAAGAATCGCTTTGACAGCTCTGCAGTGACTACAACGTATCTCGTTTCCATTATAAAATAGAGTTTGAGCTTTAATAATAGAGTCTATATTAATGGTAGTAATAATAATAATAACAATGCCATATAGAGAGAGTACACTTATTATATACCAGGTATTATGCTAAGCATTTTACATAATTATCTCACTTATTTCCCATAAATTATCATTATCGCTAGAGTAAAAAATATAAAAATTGAAGTTTGATGGTTTTTAAGTAACCAGCCCACAGTCATGCAGGTGGATAGTGTTAATGTCTAAATTCTCAGCCTGGTCATCTGATCCCAGGGATAATCCTCTCTGGATACACAACAGAAATATCCTGGGCAACTTGTACAACATGCCCCACCCACTCTCTTCCAGAGATCTGTGTTTAATTATTCTGGAATGATGCCTGGGTATTCGTATTATTTTACGTTTTCTAGACTAGCATTCTGAAGTGCAGCCAGAACTGAAGACAACCACGAATTAAGCAACTAAAACGCAATGCCTACAATCAGTAGTATGCAGAGTTACTATTAATTTAGTTATTACTACTAAAATTGGTAGTAGCCCAAACATTAGTACAATGCTTTCTGTCAGAATGATTTTTTAATGAGGTAAGAAAGAAAAAAAGCGACTTATCTGTCTTTCTGGGGAAAACCAAAATTCATCCTTCTTTTTTTTTTTTCTCTCTCTATGAATAAACGTTCTGATTAAGTAACAGCACTGTAGAGTTTTAAGAAGAGAGAAAAATTGAAGTGCATCATCTGTCCACTCTCACCTCAAGTCTGGTCAGCCCCAGGACGGCGATGGCCACGCGGATGCTACTGCTCTCCAGAGTGCCAGTGATCCGTCTTCGCTGATACTCCACATCAGTCATCTGCCTTTGTGCTGCGAAAGCCAATGCCTTTTCCTTGGCTTCATTAGTCAGTGGCAATATGAGGTCTATATCCAATACTTCTCTGGGTTTGCATTTCAAATACAGAACTGACTCTTTCCGATTAACCACTAGTGAAAGCAAAAACATGCGTGACTTCAATGATCATTTACGCCCTTGACATTGTTCAGGAAGGATTTGGGAGGTTTGAAATATAAAACTGCAGTTGTGGCTTTCCTTAAAACAGAGTAAAAATAAATCGGTAACACATTTCTAGTAGTACTAATGCAGTAATTCACGGATAAGTCTTCAGGAATTAAAGATATCTTGTTGGCACTCCCTAAAAGGAGATCCAGTCAAATGGTCCTTTCATAGAAACGTCATCAACATGATTAAAAATTCAGTGACCACTGCGCTCCTATCAGTTATTAGAAGGTGTGGGGTAGAAATAAATGTAAAGAAAGAAAGATATGGTCAAGGACTGGCATGACCTGTCATACTCTTTCACTAACAACCTTACACTTTAAACTGGACTGTTATACATCTGACATAATAAAGTTACAAACTGATAATTTATTTTTCCACTATATAATTAGTGATGCTTTTCCACTATAATTAGTGATGCTAATTATATAACGGAAAAACTTGCTATGAGGATGCTTAGGTAACTATATGAGAAACAGTCCCATCCTTCAACATTATACATGAAATAAAACATATGCATACTCTTACCTTCTGGAGAATATATGTGCTTATTTGTATATGAAGATAAGGAAGTCATTGCAGGTAGGCTGGAAGGCGATGGGATCTTAACTTTTCCTTCCACAGCGTATATTAATTCTCCAATCTAAAATATAACCACACAATAATATTAAATTCTAAAATTTCAGAAATCAGGATAAATGTATCAGCTGCAAGAAAAATCTGCATGTTATAAAAACATCATTGCATTGTGCACTTTTAAGCAACCTATGCCCTCAATGCGTGGAAAAAGGTAAGACTTAAATATAGCTCACCATAGTGTGGGAGAAGCTCTGAATGCAACAGAACATAGAGGTGACTTAACAACATCCCAGGATGACAGTGACAGCGGTCGACCTTTATAGCTACAAATATCCATTGCAGACTGCCAGTTGAAAACAAATAAACGATCAAACAAGCAAGAATTTTTTTTCCTTCAATGTGTAATTTATTGTTGGAGAGGAGCAACATCATTTTTGCAGGGTATCTTGAGTCCCCAAGAGTCTATAATTTAAAGTACAGGTTTTCTAACTGTCCTTTGATGGATGATTGGATAAAGAAACTGCGCTGTATAAAGAAAACTGAGTAGTATACAATGGAATACTACTCAGCTGTAAGAGAGGATGAAATACTGCCATTTGTGATAACATGATAGATAAGTATCATGCTAAGAGAAATAAGTCAGATGTAAAAGACCATGTGATTTCACTCATATGTAAGATATAAAACAGAAAGCAGCAAACAAACAGACAAAACAAACTCATACATACAGACAACAAAATTGTTACCAGAGGGGAACGGAGCTGGCGGGGAGGATAAATGGGGTCAAATACAAGGTAATGGAAGGAGATTAGACTGGGGCCGGGGGGCGGTGAGCACCCAATGGAATATACAGATGGTGTATTACTGAACTGTACACCTGAAACTTATATAATGTTATGAACCAATGTCAACCCAAAAATTTAATTAAAAAAATCAAGTCCAGGTTTTCAAGATGATCACTGATGGTCTGAAGATCTTTTAGAATAAATAAGTAATTAGGCAAAAAGTAGAAAACTCTAAACAGAGAGAGTGAAAACAAAAGTGGGGTCAACGCAAAGGCAGCAACACAATACAGAGAAAGATTAACAGAGGTGGACAAGCCTAGTTCTAATTCTGGCACTGGCACTTATTAGCTACTAAGCCTGACGCAAGTTTACTAATGCTCTGAGCTCTGGTTTCTCCCTCTGTAAAATGGGATGGACAATGTTCCTTCATTTTAGGGACCTAGAGATTAAATGAAGAGATAAGGGGAGAGAGTGAGCCTCAAAAGACATATCACACGATCACAATGGATGAATATTATTTAGACCTCGATTCTGAAAGGTAGCAGAATATATCACTTCAAAAAATGATTGTAGGAGTTCAGGATAGGTCACCCCAAAATATGCCACTTTGGTATATTGATGCTTTTGAGCTGTAAGCATGTGAAAAAAGGCAAATGCAGGGAAACACTTTCTCTGAACTCTTCTTATCTGTCTAGAGACAGATCCTCCAAAAAGAGTGCAATTGTCATAAATCCCCTCCCTGGGAGTTTCATCAACAAAAGAAGACTGACTCTTTTCCCATAGAAGAGACTAGAAATCAACACTGTACCCAGACAAACTTTGTCACAAAATATCGTATCTCCCATCTATTATTCTATCATTTTTCCTAAAAATTGTTTACTTTCCTAAGAGGCCAACATCCCCTCTCCACTTTCCCTAATAAGATGATATTTAAGTTTGAATTCTAAGCTACCTTGGGAAGTTATTCAGTTTTTCTGGGTCTCTCTCATGTATACATGCGGTATACATCATAATAAACTTGTGTTTGTTTTTCTCCTGTTAATTTTTTAATACGGGTGGGGGTTCTCAGCCAAGAACTCAGAAGGGCAGAAGAAAAATGATTTTTCTTCCCCTACAATTCAAATAAAGAAATTCAAAGAAAAAGGACATAAAAAAATCATACAAACTACCATGAGACAATCAGGAAAATATGAACATTGCTTGGATGTTTGATTTTGTTAACAGAAATATTACACTATTTTTAGTAGTAATGGTATCATGGTTATGTTGAATTTTTGTTGTGGTTGCTGAGATAATTACTGAATTATGCATGGGAAAGGTGATGTGATGACTGAGATTTGTTTCATTAGAATCATGAAATATATTTGGCCATGTACTGCTGAATCTCAGCATAGGATACCAAGGGGGATTTACTGTCGTTTTATTTCTACAACTGTGTGTATCTTATATTTTCCATAATAAATAGCTTTTTTTAAAAAATGCTTCAATCTCAAAAAGTAGAGTGATATAAACTAAAGATCTAGTGAGGGCTACATGAGGTGGTACGTATTAGGATCTAAGAATTTGCTTGGCACCAACTAGGCACTTAGGGGATCGATTTAAATGGAGTAGGACCATTTTTGGAGAGCAGGCTTCCCATTCAGGTGCATTTAAATCACCTAAGGATATTGTGAAAATGCAGTTCTCACTCGAGAATCAATGAAAACAAGGATGGGCAAATTTAGATTTAAACCACACAATGGCGAATCTTGTACAAGAATGGACTGGTAAGAGGCATGCAACTAACCATAAGAAAGTAAAAGAAAACAAACCTAGATTTGAAGGTGGGATTGTAACTGGTTTGAACTGTCCCACAGTCTTAAAACAGTATTAACCATGTGCTTGAGAGGCTACTCCAAAGATATCTTTGAGTAAGCAATATGTGTAAATAATATAAAAGTAAATTAATCACATAATAAAAAATACATATTCTAAAATATTGTGACTATCTTAGATAAATGAAATGGCAAAAACTGAAAATTAATCTGGAAACAAAAGAATACTTAATTTCTGATTGTAAGGTCAACTTATTTATAGTTTCATTATCTCTCCAATTGCGATTTGTTCATAATAAAATTAATTTCATCATCTACTTTCATATGATAATGTTCCATAGAATTTTATAATTATGCTCCATAATTACTTTCAGTTCATGCTGATAAAATTTGGAAAACTTTGAATATTTTAGATTATTCAGCATTTTAATCTGTGCACTCCTGGTAATAATTAGTACATTATATGTAATTTTCACATAGCAATTTTTCCTAAATAGCTATGTACTTTGTAAACATAAACCCAAGCTGGCAATCTGATCCGTGTTTTGTGTGTTTGCGTGTTACTACAAATACACCTGAGTGATCAATACTGATGTAAAGTTTTCAATAATAATTCAAGAAGAGTACACATGCATAGGTTCAACAGACTGGAGAAAACAATATATTAAGATTTACTTTTATTTGTACCTTTTTCTCACCCTTATTTTTATCTAAAAATCAGTTGTTTTACCCAAAATATAATATTCATAAGAGATCAGACTCAGGGAGGATAGTTATCATAATTGCATGTCTTTATCAATTTCTACCTGAATGAAACCTGATCTATAGCTTGTCTACTCCAGGAAAATGAATACCAAGCCATGGGAGCTGATACAAAAGGAGCAAACTGCTATTTGCTGGAATATTTTTCTTAAATATAAATTATAAACAGCTTCCTAGCCTTTGATTAGCCAATGGAAATATCAGTAACTAGGAGTCCATTCAATTCCATTTAAATTCACATATTACACAGACAATATATTAGCACCTCTCAAAAAAATATTTTGTCTAACTTGTTAGCTTTCAGTACATTCTTTTGGTTTTAAAACAGTTAATATAATTAAAAATAATGCATGCTTTGTGTGTATCAGAAAATTGTTCAGGAACGTAATCTGTAGTAGTGTTTAATTAGTTTCCTTTACTTTTCGTGAAATAAACTCAGACTAGGAAAGAAATACAAATGCAACAAAGAACTCTTTTAAAGTAGAGAAGCCCCTTACCTTCCAAGTCTGGAGGCTGTGACAAGAGAAATAAAATTATCTGACACCTAACGGCTATTCTAATAGTCACCTACTACATCTCCTTTCTGCTCTTAATTGATATTTACTAGTTGGCATGTTTATTTGGATTTACATTATTATATTTTCCAGGAAGAACCACAGCCCGTGGATAATTATAAAAAACCCTCACAAACTATATTTTATTTTCCTTGTCTATCTAGTTAAATGAAGCCCTCAAATAACACAATTATATGCAACATTACGAGACCAACTGTTAATGACCCAGAAAGGAGGAACACAGAGACTGAATTGGAAGGAAAGTTTTAATTCCACCTCTGCCATTTAATTAGCTGGGTAACCTTGTACAGAACATGGACACCCTCCAGATACAAATAATCTCAACCTTAAAAGAAAAAACTTTAAAAAGCATTTCTAGACAGAAAATCACCATTTTGTGCCATAGGTCTTAAATTCTACTTACTTTTTTATCTTGGACCTAGATCTTACTAGGTTTTATAATTTATATGTTTGAATTGGATGAACAACATTATACTATTTTGATGATTTAACAGGCACATGAGAGCTAAGCTAAAATTCAAAAATGTTAAATTCTGTATACTGGAGAGGGATCATTAATCATTGTAGATGACTATTTGACTCTGCAATAATTATAATATGAAACTGACCAGTAAGAATAATCACTGTTCTTTTAAAATACTATTTATCATAGAATGATTGAGCTAGGAGGCTCAGTAAGGGTAAGAAGTATAAAAAGATTTATGTGCCTGCACTAAAAAGTTTAACTTTCTTAACACAATTTTAACACGATCTTAATTGCATGCCTGATAGATTATTCCGAAGACATATCAAGAAGGCAACATACATTTAAATGGCATAAAAAATGAATTGATTTTTAATAAAATATATAATATGTTATGGGAAAGCACTTCATTCAATAACAGAAAGCTGGGCCTAAGACTCTGGAAGTCATCGTGGCAATGAAAATTAACAGTCTCTCTTCTCTATTACCACATATTTCAAAAATAGTTTCTATTCAAATTTTTGCCACCAAGTTTCTCAGCAACATAATGAAAATTTGCTTCCCTTCAAGTATGAAAATCACTCAAATTGTTATTAAGATTGATCTTTATGCCTTGGGTCACTGTGGCTCAGTTGGTTGGTGTGCCATCCTGTATACCAAAGGTTGCTGATTCCATTCCCAGCCAGATGCAGGGTCAATCCCCAGCTGGGGCACATATGGGAGGCAACCAGTCGATGTTTCTCACATCGGTGCTCCCCCCTCTCTCTCACTTATTCTCTCTCTCTCTACCCCCCCCCCTTTCTCTTTAAATTCAATAAACATATTTTTGAAATTTTTTAAAAGATTCATCTTTATTTCAATATCCCTCTTAACAGTTCTCTCTTGTTCCCTTCTTCCTTCTGCCAAACCCAACATCAATCATCACCTCTTCTTTCACCATTGCTTCTCACATCTTTTTCTGTCTTTACAGATAGTAAATGAAAAGCAGAGAAGAGCAGAAAGCAGTATAGAACGGTGGCATGTGGAGTAGTGTAAGAGATTGCAAGTCTCCTAGCCAGTCTCAGTCTTCAGTTTCTATATCCACCTCTTAATCTACTCTGCTTTGAAGCCAGAGATGCTTTCTAAAACAAAGATGAAACCAGATCATGCCTCTGCTCAATACCTTCCTGCTTTCAATAGTAATAGTAATAATAATAACAACAATAATAAACTTATTTGATTTTAAATGCACTGCTCTCCTCCTCCTTTATCAACCCGAGTTATCCACCCAACCCATTTTCTGCTATTTCCAACGAACCATTCTCTGAAGTGGCAATTCAAGTGTCCTTGAATTTCATGCTTAGCTGTTTTGCCTCATGTTCTTCTTCAAATTTTCTGGGCATACTTCTCCCCAGCCCAAACTCTGCTTTACTGCCAAATTTTGACTCATCCTCCCTGACCAAACTCCTCTATTAGCCAATTATCTCTGCTCTTCTATCATATAGAAATGCACTCTTCCCTCTGTTCGAGAAATGGTCACAAGCTGTCTGGCTATGTTATATAAATGAGTGGACATGTCCTGCTAATTAGGACACCATGTACACAAGGAGAGATTAGGTCTTGCCAGGGCATCTTGTTGAGGGCAAATGAAATGTGGTTTACTGTTAAAGAGCGTGACAAATAACATAAATCACCCTCAAATAATACTCAGTCTCCCCAGCTATAGAAATAACTTTCATAAAACTGTAGTTTGCCTAAGCGTAACATTACATAAGACTTTAGTATAATACAGTGCAAAGTTTTTATCTTCGCATTCAATAAAATAAGCAAAAATTATTATTATTAAAGTCTGTACATTAATTATGATTGCAGAAAGTTGCAAATTAATTGTAGATTATTTAAAAAACATACATGAGTCAGGGAAAATGAAATGAGTGACAGTGCAAAAAGTCAGACGAGAGGTTCTACTTATATCTACACTGATAACAAAGGAAATGGCCACAGTGCAACTCATGTTTCACAACTGGTCTCTCTTTGGGACTTCGGGCCCTGGTGTGGGACAGGACCAATTTTTCATAAGTTGTTCAGAGATGCTGACTCCCATCCAACTTCCTCAAGTCATCAGTATCTGGACATTGGTTTTGACTTGTTCTGACCCATTTTTGTTGACAGAAAAGGACAATGAAGGACTGGAAGATAAATCTACCAGGGGAGAGAAGAGTCTGGTTTGGGTCAATAAAAAGCCTCATGGTTGGTGGGAGAGGGCTGGTTAGGCCACGACAAGCGCCTACAGCTGGAACACACTCTTACCCCAGGCCCCGTGTCAAGGACCCCTGTTCGATGCCACTGCCTCTCTCACATGGATGATTCCAGCAATGACAGGTGGTTTCCTATTTGGAAACCTAGTGCTACACACAGTAGATGTTCACAAGGGCGCCACTGTGGACACAGAGACCCAGGGTTGTGTCCAGACACTTCTTTGTGCTTTGCAGTGTTTGTGTGCCTTGTATGGGGGTCTATCAACCACTCCTTCCAGCAGACGCAGTTTCTCAGGGACTCAGTGGCTTATGATTTAATCTGCCCCATCCACACAGAGCACACATTTCTTTGGATTTCTGGCATTCGATAGCATGAATTTTTAGGGCTTTTGTAGGTTTTCCCCTAAGGTAAAAAATTCTAGGAACACTGATGGGAAGTTTTATAAAACTACTTGTACTTTCAAAGCTGCTATATAACTCATTTCATTTTTATTATTTGAAAGTTTGAATAAACCAGCCAAAGTGAGACAAACGGCTTTTCCTTAACAGCAGTGTTAGGAGAAATGTTTCTGTTTTACACATGGAAAGCTATCAAATAGAGGCCTAATTACTTCACAGTTTTCAACAGGTGGTTCTTAATAGCAAAGCAGTTATCACACATTTAATAAGAACAGGAGCTAACTAGGTGGACTTGGATATTTGATTATCTACTTAAGCGTGTAATTGCATTTTTCAATATAATTAGCAATAAAATTGAATGTGTAAATTAATAGATGTGTTTTCCCCACATAACTAATTGTAATTCAATGCAATCCTTTACATTAAGGGCATTATTTCTCAATTGATAGCAATATAACTTTATGATTATTTTTCTTAATATTTTTCTAATGAGGACGAATTATATGTAATCAAAAGTCATGTTTTAATAAATTGACATGCCAAGTGTAATTCTATTTTGATTAATTTAGATAAAATTTATGAAAGCAAACATTAATATTCCAATAGTGTAATTTAAGGGATAAAATCAACCTCCTTACTCTACTATTGAGAATTAACCTTAGTATTTTTCAAAGGATATATTATAAATTGATATAAAAAAGGGATTGTGAAACATTTGACCAAACTACTATTTTTCACAATATACAGAGGAATTCAGTTAAATCTTGAACTCCTTTAAAGGATATAAAAAACGAGATTTAGCATTATTATAAAACAGCATTTTTTATTCACAAATGGTAATTTTAACTATAAAACTAGACTATATTTTACATATTTCACAGGCTATATTGTATTTCACATGTAAAAAATCTTATAGACACCAGGTAAAAACACCTCTTTCCAATTGCCATTATTCCACTGTATATACATTCAAGACTGCATAATTGATACATAATTAATACATTTGGGGCTATATCCCGGGAGTTATGAATTCCCTCCTCATGTTAACATATGACAGCGTCTTTCTGGAAAGGGATAATGCCATCAACTTTTCGTCTATGCACAATCTCTCTTTCTCCCTTCCCAGTCCCCCTCTCAGTGTCTCTCTCTCTCCCTCTCTCCATCCTTCCCTTCCTCCTTTTCGTCTCTCAGTCCCTCTCCTTTGTTGCCTTTAAAGAAGCAAGACACACAGATCCCTCGTCCACTAGGAAATTAATTCTACCAACAACATGGGACAAATTGGAAGCAGCTCCTTTCTCAAATGAACTTCTTGGAGAACCCAGCACTGGCCAATCACTTACTGAATGAAAACTTGATAGCCCTTAAGCAGAGGACCCGTCTAGGTCATGTCTGGACCTCTGACCCATTATAAATGTAACATAATGCCCTGACCTGTGTTGCTTACTTAGTTGGACATCATCCCACAAATGGAAAGGTTGTGCATGCACGTTTGATTCCCAGTCAGGGCACATGCCTGGGTTGTAAGTTTGGTCCCGGGTCAGGGCACATACAAGAGGCAACCAATTGATGTTTCTCTCCCTCTCTTCCCTCCTCCCTTCCCCTCTCTCTAAAAATAAATAAATAAAGTCTAAAAAATTGTGATATAATACATGTGTATTGTTTTAAGCCACTTGGTGTTTGGTAATTTGTTATGCAAACATAGATTAATATACAGATAGGACCGCAGCAAAGTTAGGCATGCCTCTACTCTGCTTTCAAGGAACTTCCTTATGCAGCCACTATAAGATGTGCCCACAACTAGTGTAACTCTGCTTATTCCTGAGAATAAGCTATTTGTTTAGCTACCAGAGGGCTGAAATTGTTACCTACGTTTCTAAGGTCTTCAGCTGCCATCAAGTCACTTGTACTACTCATTCTATTAAAGGGCCAGGCCAAGATGAAAGCACACAGCGCAGTTTTGTTCTCACCTTTCTGTTGCTGAGGATGATAATACAGTAGCGCGTCTGCAGGTCGAAGGGAACAAAGGAGATTGCCATGTCGGAAATCCCTTTCGCTTTTAAGTGGAGAGTTGTGGGGGAGAAGAACTCTCTCATGAGACTGGACCTAATTGCTGCCAAAACAAGAAGCAGAGTTTGTTTACATATCTTTGCATAAGTGCTGTTCCAATAAGTAGCTGTTTCAATTAGTGATTCAAGTTTGGGAATGAGTAACAAAATGTTCCAAGCATGAGCACACACATTCAGAAGATAATACATACATTTTTTAATAACAATGCAATTGTGATACACTGTTAAAGATGTCTTAATAAATAATTTCTTTAAAGAGGGAACTTCATGAGTTTTTAAAATCAGCTTGATATATACATATAAACAGTAGAGTAGTCATCAAAAAATCTAAAATTTGGGGGGATTATGTAATGGCTTGCATTACAGGTAGTAATAGGCTAACTGAACTGCTGGTTGTCAAACCTGTCCACAAATTCTTCAACACTGCCTTCAATGTGGTGATACTGGCCAGTCTTAGTGATTTGATCCCAACAAACAGTATGTGAGAAAGTAGCAAAAGCCAACCAAGTGTGATTCCTGACACCAGGTCAGAAAAGGTAATACAACTTCTTACTGATCTCTCTTTCTTGGTTCACTTGCTTTTAGGATCAAGTGGTTATCCTGTGAAGAAGCCTAGGCCACACGGAGAGGCCACATGTGAGTGTTCAGGGCAGTAGCCCCACCTGATCCCAGATGAAAGGCATTAATCATCAGACATGTGAGTGAAGCAGCTTTTGGGATGACTCAAGTCCCAGCCACAATCTGACGGCAATTGCAAGTTCACCTAGCTGAGGCCATTCACCCCAGAAGTGTGAGAGGTACTAATCATACTTCACTTTTATTGTTTAATGCCAGTACCTTTGGGGTGGTTTATCTGTAGCTATAGAGAACCACAACATTCCTATATCCATTTTCTTATCCATGATTCTAGCCATATTTTCTAATCTGCATTCTCCTCATAATTTTAAACATGGTGATGATACCTGCACCCTAAATAGATTTCAGCAGTTCAGAATAAGCCAAAAGAAACATAAAGGTCATTTATCTAAATACATTCATTGTACAAGTAAGGAAAGTAAGACCCAGCAGGGAAAGAAAAGATGGGGGTAGGGTTCTCCAAAAGGTCATAAAATGACTGAGGACCCACCCTATGGCCTCCCAGTCAGCCTTCAATCCCCAAGGTCTGCCATTCTGTCTATAGTTTCACTTCATAATATGCTCTATACAGAAAAATAATACATGAAAACAAAAGATTTATTGGGTTGGCCAAAAAGATCTTTTTTCCCCCCCATAAGATGGCTCTAGTAGTGCTTAGTTGTCTCTAACTTCATCCGAAACAATTTTCTCAGATTGTATTGTGATAGCTGTCACATCAGCATGGATTTAAAAAAATTATCAAAATTGGTGAATTTTGGTGCAGCCATTTTAATATTGAAGGTGGAAGAAAATGTGCAACATTTTTGGCATATCATACTTTATTATTTCAAGAAACGTAAAAACACAACTGAAACTCAAGAAAAGATTTGTGCAGTATATGGAGAAAGCGCTGTGACTGATCAAATGTGTCAAAAGTGATTTGCAAAGTTTCATGCTGGAGATTTTGCGCTGGACAACACTCCAGTTGGGGAGACCAGTTGATGCTGACAGCGATCAAATCGAGATATTAATTGACAACAATCAATGTTATACCACATGCAAGAGAGCCGACATACATAAAATATCCAAATCAATAAAAATATTGGTGAAAATGGAAAATATGTCTTTTGTTTTATGGAAAAAAAACTAAACAAATTTCTTGGGTGCCAACCCAATGTTTGAGGTACTCACAGGTTTTAAAGATTTGGGGGGCTCCACAACTGTCCTCAGCACCATCACTGTCACTACAGTCATAAGTGAGGAGAGAAACAACATCGACAATGTAGATAAAACTCAAAAACAACGCTTTATCTTAATTTAATCTTACAGTTCCCTAAAACTATGGCTTCCTACACAGTATGATGTGTCAAGACCACATATTTCTTTCATGTCCCATTTTTATGTTTATATTGTCTTAGAAATTTTAAAAATAAGGAAAATGCAAAAAGGAAAATAATCATCACCCATATTTCCACAGCTATTTTTAAAAAATCTGGTAACATAATTGTTTAGTACTTTCAAGTGCTATCGAGAAGTAAGTATTTGATGACAATAATAAAAACCCAAATTCTGAAACTCAAAAGTGGGTGATTGCAACTGAGAGCTACATAGGTACTCTCTACAAAAGTGGTTCTAGAACTTGATGTCTTGAAAAATTCTCTTCTTTCAGCTTATTGCTTCCACATTTCCTTCTTTCTCAATAAAGGTAGAATCCATGAGCAGCTGTTTAATCTCTGCTTGCATTTTTGAAAATTAATTAGCAGCTCACAGCCTGAAGCAACTGCCTCCCTTGAAAAGCTCCATTCTTCTAGAACCCATCAATTTTCCCCAAATTGCTCTTCTCTTAGTATTCAAGATTACTTTGCTCAGCAAGCTATCAATTAGTATCTGGACTCTCGGATATTGTTTGCCTGATTTTTTTTTTCTGAGAATACAAAATAAATAAATAAATAAACAAACAACCATATTTTCTCAACTTGTCATCTGCTTTTGCCTAAATTTAATAGTTAAAATATATTGACTATTTCCAAGTAAATTTGTACAAATATCCAGGCCATTTCTCCAAATGTTGTCTTCTCTTTACACCACCTTCTTAATAAGGTAATTTACCTTGTCTTATAATTTATTCTGTGCTTTACTTCTACTTCACAGACATTCTCAGTAGCAGAATAAGTAATATCTTTTTTAAAAAAATTACTTATTTTAGAGAGAGAAGAAGGGAGGTAGAAAGAGAGGGAGGGAGAGAGAAACATCAATGTGTGCTTGCCTCTGTCACGCCCCCAGCTAGGGATCAGGCCTGAAACTAAGGCATGTGCCCTGATAGGGAACTGAACCAGCGATCTTTCGCTTTGCAGGATGACACCCAATCCACTGAGCCACACCAGTCAGAGCATAGTATCTTTTTTAAAAACTAAAGAACATTTAACATTTTGTGTAATTGGAGCATTTGATACTTTAAGGCTATCATAGATAGATGAATATTTCAGCATTAAGATGGAGACTAGATAGAGAGTGGAGAAAACAACAAAAAAAATGCTTATTCTCAATGCAGAGTTCTATTGCCATCTCTTTGATGATGGAGCTCTGGGTAGAATGCCTGATTAAAATCCTCAGATAATCTCCAAACCTCATTTTGTTCAATATTTGCAATGTAAAGCCTTTCAGTCATTTTTTTTTTTTTACAGTGAACAGAAAAGCAGAACAATTTGGGCTTCATCTCCTTTTTTCTTCTCTTTACCACTTTTGTTAGAGAACAGCTAATGAAAGGACATTTTGAAGAAATCAAAGAAGTGCCTCATCCTCAAAGGAGACTCTAAAACCTAGAAAAATTGAGTTACCTGTACTATTTATAGGAAAGATGAATAGAAAAAATATGCAGGCCTAGGAATTTTATTGACTTCCTCAGAAAGCTAATGATTATCATGATTAACTCAGAGACATCAAAAAGTAATTTAATAAAATAATCTGGCTCGTGAAATTTCTAATTTACCTAATCAGTGTTCTTGAGTTTAGATTTTCTGTGATAAACTCAACTTGCATACAAAACCAGTATCATGCATGTTCCAAAGAGAGAACAGGAAACAACTCATTTACTTTCTGTTAGTCCCTGCACTTTGGCCCATGCTATTATTTTCCTAGATGCTCATTGATTATTGTGGAAACCATAGCAGAGGGGGCATGTTGAAACCTTTCGTCTTGAGGAAGAAACAGCATCAAAAGAAGTTAAAATTATACAAAGTACTGTAGATTAAGCAGAGGAATATATTCTGCTAATTTCCTCTGCAGTAGTGGCATGAAACTCTTTCCAAGTGAAATGATCAAAATGACTTTAAACTGGCTCTAACCAGGGCATGAATAAATCAGCCCCAAGAATGACTTCCTATTCAAGCCGTTCACAGTAAGGAACAAAGATCTTTATTGTAAGCCTTCTTGAAACTACTCCCAGGCCAGCATTGAGGGCTGTGTCTAAACCAAATAGCAAATTACCTGGTTCAAGTCAAGTTTTCATGCATCATGGGAAAAAAATATACAAGGACAGATTTTTAGATTCATTCCATCCTCCATGTGTCCAGGAGTTCTTTAAATAACAAAAGGGCCTGGTGGCCACCTGGAGTGCAGTAAAAAACGGGATGTTTGCTGCTTTTGATACCCCTTTGGCCCCTAAGCAATTGAGAAGTCTCTGAAGCAAGGGGTGCTAACCTGGGGTACAATAACAGAGTGGATCTGAGAATTTAAATTTGTATGTGATAAAGTAGAACACCCGAGTATAGTGTATATAAGGAAAAAAAAACTGCTTCTTACCTCATTATTCTCTTTAAATGTATTCTCTTCCATGAATAGCCCTATACTATCTAGACAGTGATATTCCTTGCCAATTAGCTCTAAGCATTTTTTAAATACCACATACTACTGAATGTATTCTCCAAATAATTGCCTGCATTTGTGTAGATTTTTTTTTCCTTCTCTGCTTGATGGCTGGCTCCTTGAAGAACAGATCTGTATGTGACTTATTTATCCCTATACTTTCCTAGTACTAAGAACAGTGCTTGTGATAGCACTTGGCAAGAATTAATTGAATGATAAATAATTCAATATTGTTGGGAAAAGAGCAAGTCATATTACTGTGGGAAATTATTTACAAAGTGTTCATATCTGAGCACTGCTGATGGGTGATTTAATTTTAAAGTGTGTCTAAAATCAGTCCCCTCTCCTGATCCTTTCTGATAATCCTTTGCATTGAATTAGAATAAAAACATCTTAACTACTTGGCTTGTGCTCATGGATGGTGTTCCCATGGTAAAACCATCCATGTGGTTTCAAATGTGTTGTTTTATATGTGTCTGTTATTTAAGAGCAGTTTATAGAGTACTTTTTAATTTTTTAATAGGAGACTAATGTTTTTAATGCCACCTGAAAGATAATGTCTGCACTTTACTGCTCATTTGAAGAAAAAATTTTTTATTTGGGGATATACTGACTGAAGTGACTCTCAGAAGGACTATTAGTATAAACTAGGTCATGCTGCAGTAACAAATCCATCTCAGTGGATCAGCACAATAGATCATTTCTTGCTCATACTATGTGTCCACTCTAGGTGGAGAGGATGCACTCAGAGATCCTTGGTGAAGGAGGCTCCATTTCTGTATGTAGTTTTCTAATAATTGTCACAGGGAAAAGGAACAAGAATAATTGCTCACTGGGTCTTAATAATACCACTTGGAAAAGACAGGCATTCATGCCATTGGCCACACAATAACTTCAGTGATATACTGGGGAAGTACAATATTAAATTGTGCCTAAAAAGAGGAAAATAGGGATATCCGTAAAAAGCTCTAAAAATACAGCTAGTTAACGGAGATTTTTAAAAAATATTTTCTTGTTCTATTATGTTTCCTTCCTGATTAAACCTAGAGAGCAGGCCAGAGTTTTATTGAGACAATGTAATGCTTATTATATGGATGACTACAAACAAAAGTTAACCACAGAGGTAGTACACCACACTTCCATTCTGGTCATAATTTAAAATGCATGTTCTTAAATTTTATTTGTGTCCAGAAACCTATACAAGACAAACATCATGGGGAGCTTTAATAAAAACAGGATGTGTAACATTACTATTATTTTGTTAAGACACTGAAAGATCAAGAGACAGCATTATGCCAATGAAGCCAGATTGATAAAATATTAGATACCTCTGTGCTATCTGGAGACAAAATAAGTCTCTTCTGGTTCCCCTCATGGTGGAGATTGTTGGTTACCAATCCCAATAACCATTGGCCCTTTCCCCTTCATTGCCAAATCCCTCATTTTATTTTGATGTGTATGTGGAAAGGGGTGGTTTCATGGTCTTCCTCCCAGCTAGGTTCATTCACTTGATCAAGATTTGGCCAATGGGCTACAAGTGGAAGTATTTTTGTGTGGCATTTCTAGGAAGCTTCCCTAAGAGAGAAAGAGCACACTCTTATCCTTCCGCTTCCTCTTTTCTGCTGCCTACAAAGTGGATTTGATTGTTGAAATTCTGGATATTTTAGCTGATCCTTGAGAAAGTGAATAAAGACTGTGCCTGCTCCAGAACAGGAGCCTGGAGGAGTTACATAGCGAGCAGCCAGGACCCCAGAAAAAGGAGCCACACTAACTGTTTCTAAAAAATCTCTTCAGAATTAACAGGGGAAAACCACAGCCTTTTTGGAGAACTTGAGACTGTTTTATCTCAATGCCGCATAAGGACTTGGGGCTCACCATTCAGCCCACATCAATGCTGAAATGACCCAAGGACCAGCCTTTCTCCTTGAGAAACGGCGTGGCCTTTGTCTTTATAAGCTCTAATCTTGCCTTTGGTAGGGGAGACAGTATTATCGGAGGTGCACAGGAGTGAGTCCTTGATCACTTAATCTAATGGCTCTGAGTTATTCTTTGAGATTAATCTGCAGAAGCCTGACTACTCTATGTTGCACCATGTTCTTCCTGATGCAACACTCAGCATCACTGCATTTTTGTTTCTTTTCTCACATAAGGGTTTGAGAAAAGAACAAAGGAAGTACAATATTATAAATACAAATGGAAGAGACTATAGAGAAAGAACGATCAATAAATGCTTGAAACCGTGGTAAACACACTTCTAAAGCTGTACTTCATCCTAAACTGGCAATTATTTTGAATATTTCCAAAATTTCCTTTTCTTCCAAAATTAAATTATAAATGCTTTCATACTTGTTCAGCGCTCTTTGTTTTGAGATGCGTAAGAAAAAGAAAATGTCTTTACCTCAAGTGTGAGAGTGGATGGTTTCAATAACTTTAAGATTTTGGGTTCAATCAAAACCATTCCAGAATATTATATGAAGAAAAATCATGTTAAAATTTTGGATACAGAATTCCTATACTGCATTCCAAATTGTGAAAGTAGACTCAATTTTGCTGTTCATTGAACTGATCCAACTTTGAGTTACTTGTGCTCACAGATACCTATAGCAATGCTTTGAGATCTGACATAGTTTGATATGTAATACTGTAAATTACTTGCAATTAATGTGAAGAAATGATTTCAAGGCAATCCAGGCAAAATCTGTGATCACAAAGCAACTTCTTAATCAAGAAACAAGGGACTGAAAAAGCTTAAAATTTAGGAGAAATGTTTACTAAAGTTTTTTTTTTTAGCAATACTAGCATTTTATACTACAAAGAAATTAACATGAAATACCTACAATACTCTATTCTTATATCTGTAAATGTTATCTTAAAGCTTAATGTATTAATTCATATTTTATTGTTCACAACAGCAAAATGTAAAAAGAAGACTCTGAATGCCTTAGTTAAGCATGAACTCAGCATTCAATAAAACAAATGCAGTAAGACAAAAATGAAATTTCCTTCCACAATTTTCTCAGAGAAAAACCAATAAAGGAATGAAATATTTTATAATACATTCAATCTTATAATTTAAATTATTAACTTAAATACAATTCACTTTTTAAAAACAATCTATAATCATTTCAATCTAAACAAGATCTATACAATCACTCTAATGGTTTCTGATAACTTTAACATTGGGAATTCATATGGTATCAACATAGCCAAATCCTTGTTCCCTGGGATATTTATGCATCTAAAAGAATGACAATGAATGTTGTCAAGCATTACAGAGACGAAGGTAGATGCATTTCATTAATAGTCATCTGCACTATTTTCTTTTGGCCTGACCTTAATTAATCATGGCAACATTGTTTTTAATCCACTTCACTTTAAATAGTTATGCTATACAGTTGACCCTTGAACAACATGGTAGAGTGCTTAGGGGTGCCAGTACCCTCCCCCTCCCCCTCACAGTTGAAAATCCACATGTAACTTCTGACTCCTCCAAAACTTAACTACTAACAGCCTGTTGACCAGAAGCCTTACCATGAACACTAACAACTGATTGACACATATTTTGTGTGTGTTATATATATATAATATACTGTATTCTTACAATAAAGTAAGCTAGAGAAAGGAAAATGTAAATAAGAAAATCATAAAGAAAAATGTAATTAAGAAAATCATAAAGAAGAGAAAATACATTTACAATATTTATTTTTAAAAAATCTGTGTAAGTGGACCTGCACAGTTCAAATCCAGTTCTTGAAGGTTCAATGTAGTTAACATTTGAGAAATATAAAGCAAACTAACTTAAAAAAATTCAGCTTCTCTATTCAGAAGTCAAGGTTTCTTTCTAAACTAAATACAGACCTCATAAAACAATAATGTAGGTGGAATAAGTTTAAATACAGCCAATCTTCATTATCCATGAATTTCATTAACTGCAAATTCACCTCCTTGCTAAAACTCCCTTGTAATACCAAAGTCAATACTCATGGTGCTTTAAGAGTTGTCTACAGACATGTGCAGAGTAGCAAAAAACTCTAGTCACTGGTCATACAAGTTCCAAGGTGAGGTCAAACAAGGTAACACTGGGCCTTTCTGTTTCAGTTCCCATGCACAGATGACCAGAGCATGGAAGCCAGAGCGGGCAGTATAGAAGTGTTAGAAGGTCCAGCTCTGGGGCCAGGTGGACAGGGTTTGACACCCTTCTTTGGCACCTGTTAGTGGCACAGCCTCAGGCAAGTCATTTAACACTTCTGAACCTCATTTTCTTTGTGCAAAGAAAATAGAATCTATCAGGATGGGTTCTTTTTACAATTTATAATTAAAATCTGTGTTTAGATATATTTCTCCTAGGAGCAATGGTTCAGAATTCACCAACTGAATGTTCGCAGTAATTTTATAGATCCTAACTACCATGATTAAAGAGAATCCGCTGTATTTAATCATGTGCATATTTATTCAATTTTCAGGCACATAAACCTGTACCACATTAGAGAATAAGTAAGAATAATATAAATTATATATAATATAAATTGAATATTTCAAATAAATGAAAACTATTATGGAACAATATAACAAGTTTACATAAATTTCTCAGAATTTTTCCTCAGATAACTATTAGCATAAAATGTATGGATATTTACCTCTCGTTCTTTTGGCTAATGAATTGTCTAGATGAATTTAATTGCGATGTCAAGGTCAGAAATGTTGAGGATTCCACTAAAATGACTCTAAAATAAAGAAATAAAAGCATTACTTTGGATTTTACTATAAGAAGCATCAGTAGATGATTGGATCAAAAAACTATGGTACATATACACAATGGAACACTACGCAGCAGAAAGAAAAAAAGAACTACTAAACTTTGCGACAGCATGGATGGAACTGGAGAGCATTATGCTAAGCGAAATAAACCAGGGGGCGAAAGACAAATACCATATGATCTCACCTATAAGCGGAACCTAACCAACAATACAAAGATGCAAGGAAAATATGACCAGCAACACTGAAAGGAAAAGAAATCAACAGAGACAAGAGGGAAGGAGGGGTGGGCAGGGAAAGGGAAGGGAAGGGGAAAGTCAAGGAACATATAGCAAGGACTCATGGACAAAACCAAAGGGGAAGAGCTGAGGGAGGGAAGGAGGGAGGGGGCAAGGGAAAGTGGTGGGGGGGAGGCAGAGACAAATGTATTTAAAAAGTAAATAAATAATAAATAAATATATTTAAAAAAAAGATCAGATGACCACAAAACATGCTTCTTTTAAATTTTTTTCCATCTTTCATAAAATAGAATTAAAATCAGAATAAATTACAGTTTAAAAAGTCTAAGAGTTCTCATTCTACAACTAAAAATAAAGTCTTTAAAAAAAGAAAAAACAGAACACCAATCCTTCATGAGCCCTTCAAAAATAGAAAGGACCATTTTCCAAGTCATTCTCCGAGGCTAATATTAAGAATACAAAAAACAGATAAAAAGATATCACAAGAAAAGGAAATTACACTATTAAATCCTTTGATTATGAATGCAAGATAATAGCAAATCAAATCTCACTACATGTTAAAAAAATAAAGGTATTACAGAGCAAGTAATAGCTGCACTCTGCAAACAAAAAATTTGAGAACCATTGATTTGGCAGGCCACAGGCATGGGTCCTATTCCTGTCTCTGTTAAATCTAGACTGGGTTAACTTTTTTATTAAAAGTAATGTTAAATTTTGATTTTAAGAAAGATCAAATCTGGTCACTGTGCTACATAGAATTTTGGGGGAAATATACAAAGTTTTTATTTTATTTTAAAATACATTTAATATGAGATTATTAATAAGAACTAAATGCTGATCATTCTGTAAGTGTAATATCAAAAATTAAGTAACTTTATTGTTACCGTTTATAACATAAAAATAGTCTGTATAAATAATTAATTTCCTTTCTCAGCTATTTTACTATTTTAAAATTTGAAAAATAATATATATGCCTACTATAAAATATTGATTTTAAAAATGTTATGATCAGTTTTTAAATTTTGAGTTTTATAATTTTACCTAAGTTTAAGGACCATATTCATACAAGGGAATGAGTCAAATTTCCCCAATTAACAATCTTGTCCCCCACCAAACCATGCACCCTGCACAAGAAGTCACAATTGTATTGTGATCTGGGGTAAAACATAAAGGAACAATAATTTTTTTTTTTTGAAAACATACAACTATAACATTCTACCAATTCCTGGGACTTTGAGATTTTCTTGATCCTGATATCTTCTGAAGAACTGCAGTCAGTCATTTGGTTCATTTAAGGGCATATTTTAATACTGCATTAATGTCACATTTTCTGACATTTTATGCTCCTTACATTCTGATATAACACTTTAGTAAAATTATAGTAAATAAAATTCTCCCTCAGTGAACTTGGGAACCATAAATTCACCAATAACTGTTTAAACAAAAGAATTTCTGTTTTGTCAACAACAAATGATACTATTAATAAGAACCTAACAAAAGCCTAGATATACAGTGATTTAAAAAAACTGAAAATTATCAAACATTAATAAACATGCATATGACTTACAGTCTCAAAACAAATACTGTTGTAAGGATTTGATTTCTATAGTTGGTGGAAAGAGAGTTTCCAATTTAAGAAGTACACTAAGGTATCACTGTCATCTTCTCCCTCAACACGTAAGTATATAGCAAGATATTTTTCTACTGTGAACTTAAACAATAATTAAGCACTTTATTGTAGTTTCATCTCAAATCCATATTGTTGCTATTGTTGTTAAATCTCAAGATGCACAAATACACACAATGTTCAGTTTCAGTCAAAGATGCCTTAAGTAAAAATAAATTTTCTGCTTGAATAGATATTTCACTTTTGGAAATTAACATGAAATAAAATTAGAAATAAAAAGTCTGTTAACATAAATATTTGAAATGGAAAGAAGAGTACACCTCAACACACAGAAAGCTTATGTACAAAATTCATAAATTTGGTATTATCAGTCTTAGCTTTGTATAGATCAATAGCATTTCAAGGAAAACTGATTTACCTTCATTAGTTCTTCTATTTTATCTGATTAATGCTTATAAAATTATAGCAATGTGAATAGAAAACATTTCTCCTCAAAATAGTGCATGTTAAAGAAAATTACATATTTCCCTTAAGACTGGATATGGCTAACTATAATGAATTTAAATCAAAACAATAACTTACTTGAAGTCGCCAGCAGTATTGAAGGGGTTTGTAACCTTCACAGTGAGGTCTTTACATTTATAACATGGGGTTCTGCATTTTATCATGCTCTAAGGTAAAAAACAAAATAAAGACATACTAAATGGTAAGAACAGAAAAGGAATAACCTGAATTATAAAATATAAGCTTAAAGTATTTAAAAACCTGATGATTTAAATACTATGATGATATTAATTTATATAATTCTCCTTTTCCCAGAAACACTGTACCACAAAAACCTGAGTGGGAAGAAATAAAAACATATTTCATTATTTTACATCATCACTGATCCCCAGTACTATGCTAACAACTGAAAATGTGTCACATATTGTCTCTCAAATAGATTCCCTTAAATTTTTTTTATTAATGACTGAGCTTTTCACATTTGCAAATTAGGTAATTATCTATATATCTAATAACATGACATAAGAGAGAGGCAGGGAGGTGTGTGTGTGTGTGTGTGTGTGTGTGTGTGTGTGTGTACCCAGATGTGTGAGTGCATGAATATCTACATGTGTATGACATTAGAGAGAGAGAGGCAGGGAGGGTGTGTGTGTGTGTGCATGAATATCTACCTGTGTATGACTATGTGTCAGGGCGATAAGCCAGTGTTTATAATGCAGTGGCTACACTGGCATATTTTTACTATAATAAAAGCACAAATGTACAGTTTAAAATTCAAATTACCCAGTGGATTTCCAGAGAGGAAAAGATTCTAGGAATTCTACATTATCAGACTGATCATGTTCTTACCTTCTTTTATTCCTCCATTATTACCCACTCTGCCTCCTGGTGACTAAGACCAGGAGTAGTCAGATGGAAAAGTAAACGAGACCACATGAGTTTCAAGTGTCAGCTTCTCTGCCCCAGAGCCATGTTAATGACAAGCTAATAAAACAATCTACATCTCTTCCATACATGTGCCAAACAACACAGTGCTTTGTTTCAGAGGATTTGTGTGAAAGGTTTGGGGAGTGTAAGAGTTCACTATACGTGAGAAAATTAGAAGATCATAATACACATCTCAGTGACAATCAAACGCCTGCTTAGTGTTCTGGGTGTCATTATCTAAGAACCCAGTCTGTCCTTGTGAACACCTTAATGCTCTCCTTACACAACTTACCATTACCAGAGTTATTCTATTTACTTCCTACTCATTGCACTGCACACCTAAAATTCTTTATAATCCGTATGGAAATCTGGCAACATAACAAACGTACTTCTTCTTTCCCATATGTCCATGTTAGAAAATAATATTTGGCCAAAATGCTGACTACAAAAAGGCAATCATAGCAACATCACCATCATTTTATAGAAAATTTTAAAGTCCTTTTCCTTCATCTTTTGAAATACAAACAGAACTCTGGAACATCATCACCTCTCGATACATGTCAGTATTAGTATTATATTTATAATGGATTTAATCCACAGGGCACTGAAAATAAATTGATGAATGTTCCAGTTGAAGAAGAAAAACATTTTCTTCGCTGTGTAAACCACCAACTCTTAATTCAAACAAAAGTAGAAAAAGGCCCAGGGACTGCTTTAATTTCAATCACAAAGCTCCATGGTAGAGGGTATGTATGTTGCTACGCGTCCAGCGAATGACTCCTTCGGGAGAAGCACAAATAAATTACAGTAATCCTAAAAATCTGATCTTAAAATAACGTGTAATACAAGTCCTTTCAAATTCTATCATGAAACTAGAGGCGTATTTTCACAGAAGAAGTATCATAGTAAGAATATCACAGACACAGAGGCCAAAATTTGGGCAAATACAAGTATATACACACTGGATCTCAAGGAACAAGAGCTGCCAGGAGATAAAACTAGGAAGAATAGGTTTGCTTAGGATACTCCATTGTCTGGGAAGAGAAGTGGAGGCACACAAAATAGGTAAAATTTACTTACAACAGGATGAAATTTGTGGACTTCGCCCTTAAGAGTAAAAATCATTGCAGCGCCCCCTACTTCATATTTAGATTTTGAAATTAACATCAGTGAAGCTTCAGCAGGATGGAGGAAGCGACTGGTGAACAGCACATTGATATTGGTTTGGCCTCTATTTAATAAAAGATACAAGAAAAATGTTTTATTGAAAAAAGACAACTCACAACCACCTAGTCAGTGTAGTCCACGTGCCCAGTGCCTACCTCTGCAATATACTCACTTCTACAATAAAATTCAAGATTGTTGCCTATTTCAGGAAACCTACAATCTAGTTATTGTCATCAGTTAAAACATCTTGATCCACCACTACGTCGTCCTCTTTGGAGAAAAGTCTATTCTGGTATTCTGCCCATTTTTTAATCGAATTATTTGTTTTTGTGGTATTCAGTCATGAGTTCCTTATATATTTTTATATAAACTCCTTACCAACAGCCATATGAGAAGATGCTCAACATCACTAAGTATCAGGAAAATACAAATTAAAACCACAATGAGATATTAATCTTACACCTGTCAGAATAGCCACCATTAATAAATCAACAAACAACAAGTGCTAATGAGGATTCAGAGAAAAGGGAACCCTTGTGCACTGTTGGTGGGATTTCAAATTGGTGCAGCCACTACAGAAAATAGTATGGAGTTTCCTTAAAAAATTAAAAGTAGAATTACCACATGGCCCAGCAATTCTACTTCTGGGTATTTAACTGAAGAAATATGAAACACTAATTCAAAAAGATACATGCCCCTCTATGTTCTTTGCAGCATTATCAACAATAGCCAAGCTATCAACGCAATATCTAAGTGTCCATTGATAAATAAATGGATAAAAAAGAGTTGGTATATATATGATGGAATATTACTCAGCCATAAAAAAGAATAAAATCTTGCCATTTGCAACAGAGGGTATTAGAGAAAGACAAATATCATATGGCTTTACTTATATGTGGAATCTGAAAAACAAAATAAACAAACAAAATAGAAACAAACTCATAGATACAGATAAGAAATTGATGGTCACCAGATAGGAGGGGGATTGGAAAACTGTGGAAAAAGAGAAAGGCATTAAGTACAATTTGCCAGTTATAAAAACAGTCCCAGGAATGAAAAGTACAGCATAGGGACTATAGTCAGTAATATTGTAATAACTGTGTATGGCGTCAGATCGGTACTAGACTTATTGGGGGGGTCACTTTGTAAGTCATATAAATATCTAACCACTATGCTGTGCGTCTGAAACTAACATAACATTGTATGACAACTGCAATTGGTAAATAAATTAATTAAAAAAGAAAACATGTTGGGCCAGTCTATAAAATCTAAAAGCTAACCTCCAAAAATATGTATAATCTACCAAATATAGGATTTCCTAACAACTAACCAAAGAAAATCATATTTTTTTGTGTGAGAATTTCATAGGACATTCTGTGCTACTGTTCAGGCAAATTCTTAGTCATATCACTGGTTTTTGGTCACATGGAAGAAAACAATGAGGAAGAATAAGAATTTTAAAAATACTTAGAATTCTGGTTGCAAATAAAATTCGAATCTCAAATGAACTTAATGGTATATAAGTAACATTACGTTTATTCACAAGATATATGTAATTAAAAGAAGGAATCAAGAAAACATATCCATCTCCCTTAATCTTCAACTTCCTAGTCTAAAATATAGCAAAAAGGTAGAGTCTATGGCCTTGGAGATTTCACTTCCTAGTTTGTAGGGGAATGGACTGAGCCATGGCATCTTGGTAACCCTGCATGACAACAAGGCCACATATGCAAGCCTGAACTGCAGGGGATGTTAAGTCTTGGCACAAAGTTCTATGATCTTTCCGTAACATAAGCGCACAGAGGCTCATGAAGTGCGGCTACAAGAACATTTCTTACTTGCCTCCCCACTCCCCTGCGAGGCTGTCACCCGACAGTTTCTGAAGAGGTCTGAGGCTTCTTACCTAGCCCCTTTCAGGGTAGAGTTAGGGGCTATAAAACTACTTGGTTGCAGCATGAAATTGACTTTCAGCAACAGTGTGTTCTACTGTGTATGTCGCTGTCCTCTGGCCCTGTTGGTATTGTGTGGTGCACAAGGGCAGGTGACCTAGCCCATTGATGGGTTACTTTGCTTTCACTGCTTATGTAAATAAAGGACTCTTCAAGTAAAAAATGGTTTTCATTGTTTCTTTACTGGCTGAATCTTTCAGCCATGTCTTGGCTTGCTGCAACTGTGGGTGATAAATCTTAGGGAAATTTTACCTTTGTTTTTTTCTCTGGTTTTTAACATATTTATTAGCATTATACATCACATCACAGTTATTCTTTGTACTATCTCTGATCACCTTCCCTTAGCATACACATAAATGGACATGGAGATAAGAATAGATTCTCCGGGTGCCAGACTTTGGCATCATTCCCCAGAACGGCTGAGGAATTATTGTCGAATAGGTGAGTTTAGGGAGCAGCGGAGTAAAGTGAATGGGGGGCTTCCAGATCAATAGAAACATTCTCCAGATTGCTATTTAGGGAAAATTACAGCTCAAATCTACCAAGAGTGGGAATGGTTTTTATCCAGATATGTCATCACTAATCTCAATTTGTGAAACAGGACATTTTCTTGGCTATTATGAAAAGATCATGGACTTGAATTTGATTGAAAACAAAGAATATTTGTCCTTGTAATCTTTTTCTGAGTACAATAGGCTCAAACTCTGTGTTAGGCGCCTGTGAGTGATTTAGTATTTTTCCAGATACTCAAAAATCATCATTACATAAAACCATTCATTTCAGTAATTGATATCTATAGAGAATTCATAATATGCCAAGCATTATTTTAAGATTTTAGATACTGTAATGAGAAAAAAAACCCCACGCAATTGCCCTGGCTGGTGTGGCTCAGTTGGTTTAATTCCCTGCCAGGGCACATGCCTTGGGTTGCTGGTTCAGTCCCGAGTCTGGCATATGCACACTGATGTTTCTCTTTCTCCCTCCCTTCCCCTCTCTCGAAAATCAATTGAAAAAAAAAAAGAAAACACTACTGTTAATCTCCTAGCTCTTACACTTTATAGGACATTATGGAAAATATTTCATCACAAAATAAATGTGAAAACTACAGATTACGTGTGTGCTATCAAGTGGCATGAGAGCACATCATTGAGACTATGATATAGTCTGAAAGGAGTGTGTGTGTGTATACACATATATGCGTGTGTGTGTATACACATATATGTGTGTGTGTGTACACACATATATATGATGCAAGATATAGTGAAGGTCCTGCCATGAAAGCCACATGGACCATATTGAGATGTTCAGTCTATATCATGGTGGTTATGGGAAGCCAAAGGGATATTTTAAGTAAAAGAGTAACATAACTGAATTTGCATTTTAAAAAATTATTGTCATTCTGATATAGAGGATGGATTGAAGGGAAGCGTTTTTGGAATCCATTGTAGCAGCCCAGTTTAAAGACGATGATGGTACATTAATATAGAATGGAAGAGGTAGATAAGAGGAAAAGGTGACATTTAGGAAACACATGGTAAAATAAATAGCACTAGGTAATGGATTGGATCTCCATGAAGTTGATAGAAAAAGGTGTTCAAGAATGATCATATTCTAAATAACATGCACATAGTACATGAACTTATGAATGTATATTTAAGTTCTATGAAACACATTTTTAAAAGATTTTACTTATTTTTGGAGACAGAGGAAGGGAAGGAGAGAGAGGGAGAGAAACATCAATATGTGGTTGCCTCTCGAGCACCCCCTACTGGGGACCTAACCCACAACCCAGGCATGTGCCCTGACTGAGACTGAACCAGTCACCCTTTGGTTCGCAGGCCAGCACTCCATCCACTGAGCCACACCAGCCAGGGAAAGATTTTATTTATTCTTAGAGAGAGGAGAAGGGAGGGAGAACGATATGGAGAGAAACACTGATGTGAGAGAGAAATATCAATTAGTTGTCTTTCATATGTACCCTGGGGACTGAACCTGCAACCAAGGCATGTGCCCTGATGGGGAATCAAACTAGCAACCTTTCGGTTTGTGGGACAACACACAACTAACTGAGACACACCGGTCAGGGCCTATGAAACACATTTTAAAATACAGTATCCTTTTTATGAGGCCAATGGTTTTAGAACCATTAAAATTTGTGCTTCTCTTGAATATAGATACTCCCTTTGTAAAAATTCTGTAATCATTGAAGCATGTAAATGACAGGGATTCCTTCCTGAATGTGTCAGAAAGTTCAGAATCAAATGGGTGGTCAACCTCTGGTCATGTCTTAGGCCTGCAGAGATGTATATCACAATTAGAGGCTTTATTCTAATTTTCTCACCTTTTATTTTTCTTTTCATTCCAATTGCCTCCCCCTCATTTAAAAATAATCTCCTTCATGTTATATGTACCTCATAAGCTACTTCAACTTGGCTTTTGGAGAAGACGGAGAATAAATATATAACACATCAATGTCAGGGCCCATATGGCTCAATAAGAATAATGAGGGGAAAAAAGAAACAGAATGGTTTTCTAAAACTATACTTTCACTTTTACGACAGTCACTATGGTTATAGCTAAATTTAGTCATGAAGTTCGATGCAGAAATAAACATTTTTGTTTATATGTTGATGTAGCTGTTTAATCTTTCTATATAAATTATATCTGTGGGAATTTAAATCCACAGCTGGTAGAAAGAGCAGTTATTAATTGTGATTTAGACAGAATCTAAGACAGGATGTGGTACACACAGATAATTATATAATACCTGATAATGATAAAACCACAGGGTTTTTTGTTTGTTTGTTTAAGAAAACAAAACAGTTTCTGAAACCTATTCGCAAAAACCAAAAGCCATAAAATTACTGAGCCTACCTAAACAGATACTTAAAGAACCACCGAATAATAGTAGTCAAGCCCACAAAATAAAATGCACCCAAAAAAGTGAATAATTGTTTTCCACGTACATGGAGAATTAAGCATTAGACAACCCTTCTGTGTTTTCCTTGAGAACACATAGGTGGCTTCTTTTTTCCATTTTCCTCTGGTTCTATACACACATCACAAATTAAACAATCATCAGAGTATATCCTCGTTGTATATTTCCTTATATGGCACTCTGCTAGATTGTGAACACTGTGAATAGTGTTGATGTTTTCATCTATAAATCACCAGCACTTTGAATTGGGGTGCGGGGCAAATACTTATTGAATGCTCCCTGTAAGATCCAGTTACAGTACTAGGTGTTTTGCCTATACAGCTACACTTAATACTGACAACACTGTGAGTAAATATCCACACTTTCCAAATAAAATAAGAAAAATGAGGCTGGATCATAGAGCCTGTACACGTCAGTATCAAAACCTAGCATTTAATTGTTAAATGACATTAGAGAAGAGCTAGTCCACAATGGCATCTAAAACTCAGAGTATCTCGTTAAAACTCTAATAAAGGGATTTTTCTTTAAAAAAGGCTAATTAGAGGGATCCACTGAGGAATATCTAAACAGAGGCTAATAAAGGAAACAAAGCTGCCTTGTAAGACTCCTGGAGAAGCCATTTCCAGAAATGATTAGTTTCAGAGGGCAAAATGGAGTTCAGACAGCCCTACTCTTCCCAAAGCCCTAAACTGAAATCTACCAATTGACAAACCTGTGCATTTACTGATCACAATTTACTGTTCTATGGCCATTTTATTACATATGAATGGATAAACGAGTATCCCAAGTCATGAGAATAAGTCCTTCAATGTGGAAACACTGGGACCAAGAGAAACTAACATTAACTGACCTCAAAGAAAATGAAAATAATACAAGTAATGTAAAAGAGACATTTATAAGGCTATTGTAACCTCAAATTAAGGACATGCCGCTATTAAATAAAGATATTCAAAAAAAGAAAGTGCTCTTATAAATATATGACATCTATCTATCTACCTATTTATCTATCTGTGTATACATACCCAATGGCTAGGAATGGAGAAAAATGGGAACATTGGGGTTCTTTCAGGTATGATTATCAGTCTTCTACCTTTTTCTAAATTGTATACAATGAGCACATAGGGCTTTTATAATCAGAAACAACTATATAGAATATATAATGCTATATATATATATATATATTTAGCACACACTGCTTCTCGTTTTCTGCAGGAAACAGGACTATACTATATAAACGATTTATTGTTTAGTCTCTAGAGCCAATGTACATGAAAAATAAACTACAATTAAATGTATACATAAAATACAGCTGCTTTATGTTAGAAATTTTTTTAAATAAAATTGATGAGGAATCTCAGCAACATATGAATAATTTATCTAATTTATCTAAGTGTGAGTGATGGTGCTTTCTTTTTTTTTAAGAATTTTTAAAATTTATTTTTAGAGAGAGAGGAGGAGTAAGGGAGAAAGAGAGGGAGAGAAACATCAATGTGGAGAGATACACTGATCTCTTGCCTCTTGCATGCTCCCTACTGGGGAACCTGCCCGCAACCCAGGCAAGTGCCCTGACTGAGAATCAAATCAGCGGCCTTACAATTCGCAGGCCGACACTCAATCCACTGAGCCACACCAGTCAAGGTGGTGTTTTCATTTACATATATCTGCTAAAAACAAATCTTTTTTTTTATCGTTACAACACACATTAAATCTCTAGCTGGTATGTCCAAAGGAAAAAAAATTTGAAAAAATAAAAAAAACACTTACCTTGGAGAAATTGTCACAACACTCCTTGACTTTTGAATGGAGAAGTCAGCGGCATCTCTTCCAATAATTGATATTCTATATATTAAGGTTTTCTGGCTTGAATTTTTCACCAGAATCTATATTGCAGAACGAGACAGTAAAAATAAGATTATGTATTTTAAGAAATATGCAACTTAACATTTCTTATTTTTATCAGAGACAGTTCTACACTTTAATGATGCAAATATCTGTTCCTAATGTGCACTAACTGGAAGCAAACAGACTTTGTATTTGAAGACAGCATATATACAGTTTAGCCAAAGTGGGCAGGCAGAAGGAGCTTTCACACAAGGAAATGACATAAAGATTTGAAATCCAAAGTTAGCAACTTGGATTTTATTCTTATTGCCAAGGGAAATCTTTGGGGAATTTTAAACAGAGAACTTATACAGTCCAGTTTACAAAAAGGACACTCTGGCTGCTCAGTGTAGAAAGTTATAGAGTGTAAGTGTAAAACCAGAGGTCCAAGCTGGAAACAATGGTGGCCTCATCTAGACCCAGTAGTGTGGCTAGGGTGCGGCTGTCCCTTCCTTCCTGATGCTGAGGTGTGGAAAGTACTGGAAAATGACTTACTTCATTTTTAGAGAGAGTGCTGCATGAAAACTTAAGTGTAGAAGCCTTTGTGTAGAATATGATAGGGATTCAAAAAACATACACACATTAGGAAGACATTAGGTTATCATGGAAAGTAATGATCCAAAAGAGGGAGAAGACGCAGGGCAGATGGATGATTGGCCAAGTTACCATGAAGACAAGGTAACTGCACTTAAGCAGCCCAGGAACTGTAGTGACAGACATTGAAGAGTTCATAATTAGCACTATGTGTGACTATAGTGAATTGTAAGGAATATGGTAGAGATTTCTTGAGATAATAAATTAACTACTTTCACATTTTAATGAAAAATTTGGTAACTACCAGGACAAGTATGTTGTTGCTGAAGAGTTCATACATTCAGTTACCTCACGGATGTGTGGGAGGGTGTCTTTTAGAAAGAAATTAGAAAGAAATCATATTTCCATTTTAATGTGATTTTTTTTATTGTACCATGACAATTAAAATTTATGTTTCAATATGAGCTTGTATTATTACTTTTTAAAAATAATTAAATGCCATAAACAATTACAAACATGTGGTCAGAGTTAAAGTATTGTTAATAATACTTAACTGTAACCAATAAACCAATGCTTAATCTAATTCAGACTCCTCCTATCTTCTGCAGGCCTAAGCAAAACACTTCCAACTGTTCATACATTTTATTTTGAAGTCAGAAGTCATCTCCAATATAATTATAGCTTTAGGCTAGTTAGTACTCAAGGCCCTTGAATATCACTGCAGTTAGAGAATTAGCATAGTAAACAGTATTGAAAAAATTTTCTAAAGAGTTTTATATTTCATTTTCTGACAAAAAAGGGAAAGGAATAAAATTAGATAACAGGGATTGTATCTCATTATTTGCTAACAAAAAAATCACAAGGAGTAACTTTCCTTTCCCTAAATTGAGTCCTTTACACTTTGGGACAAGAACCTGAGTTTTTCCCTGAGTTTTAACTGAATCTTAGCAACCATCGCTCATATTGGCACAGTGGCTACACGGTTATTTTTTCAAAGAGGTTACAACTACAAATCAAACATCACCAGGACATATATTTTAAAGACCAAATATGGACAAGTTTTGCATTGGAAGTATAAACTTAACCCCCCACCCATAAATATGGGGAGGAACACATAAAACAGCCTGAGGAAAAGAAATAAACATGATCCAACCCAAAGCAGTAAAATAACTTGTGTGCACAATAAGATTTTATCAGCCCATAGTGTCCTGAGAAAGAAGCAAGGAGACCACATATAAATCTGGTTAAAGATTTTATGAAAACAATCTTAGATAAATATAAGCAATTTAAAATTACATGCCAGAAGATATTTCATGAGTGTTCATGTGAAACAAATTGTTTGAAATTGAGGGCAATTATCCCTGATAAGATATTTCTCAAAGAGAACACTTGTTATTGTCATAGGATTTTAAATTTCATTTTCAATTTTTTTTCCTGAGAAGAATCCATCATTACACATTTAGTACCTCCAGCATATATAATATCATTTAATGGGAATTAGGTGGCTCAGGTCAGGGGCACTTCCATTATTACTTCTTTTTCTATATCCTTATTTGAACAAAATGCATCTGGATGTGCAAACTGCTCCCTAAAGGAAAGTCAAGCACATTCAGGTCCCAAGTTTCCACTTATGGTGTCAGTCTTCTTGCACATGAAATGGATTTCAAGTTTCCTGAAAGGATTGGCCCTCCAAAGTACATAATCTTCATTTTCCACATCCCTAACCCCCAATCCTCAATTGCTTCAAAGAGTCATCATTTCCTTGCTCGTGGTGATTTTATTAAGCACAATTGTCCCTTTCACTCCGCTATACCTTTGGTTTAGAAGGAGCAATATTTGCTAATGCTCACTGTATCATATTGACACTTGTCAATTTCAGGTTGGGAAAGAAATATCTAAAACCCCTCTTAAGTGTTAACTGTGTACACTTTGTACCTACATAGATCCTTACCTGTCTTATCACAGTCTCATGTAGAGTACAATATAAGGTCATCAAATCCTTGGGGATATATGCAGGGAGTCTTTCGTACATGTAGACACAAAGCATGAGCATCAGGATTGGACTAGGGTCCCAGATGTCAGAGGCCTAGTTTTGAAGAAGAGAAATAGAAAGAAGAGGATACACAAATAAAATATATAACTAGAGCTAAACCACAGTAATCAATTGTTGAAATACTTTAAAACGTTTTCAAATGTTTACTGATTGGCAATGATACTGAAATGCAGATAGAATAAAGAAAATATTGTGAATCAGAAGAGCTTGACCTAAGTTTTAAAGGATGAGTAAGATGTGTTCTAAGTATAACAATGACCTCAGAGCCTCAAAGAGTCCACAAAACCTAGTCAGAGGTCAGAAAAATAATACACACTAGCAATTCTGACCAATGTGACTAAGACACCATCTCTGAGTCATTAGAGTATCATAGAATGCACTAAAAGAAAACTTGAGAAGTAGGCGAAGTACTTAGGTGAAAGATGGCAAGAGACTTTCAAGCAAAATCGCAAAGAGGAGGTAACACATGAGATGAACTTGAAGGCTGTTTGGACATCAAATAGTTTGTATTTGGTGTGAGGTAAAGGATATATTCTATCAGAAAGACAAAGAACTCTAGGGCAGACCATATGGGGAAGCAGAGTGTTCATTTGGAGGAAGAAGTACAATTTGAATCATGCGTAAGGTAAGAAGGGACAGGTACTGGAAGAAAAGACTGCGCAGTGCCAGAACCACATTGTGGAGGGCATGCATGCCACGGGGAGGGACTTGATTTCTGAACAAGAAATAACACAAGAGCAACAATTCAAGCAGATCAAGCAGTGGGTGGTTGGGGAAGTTCCTTTCCCAGACCAGACAAATTATAATAAGGCAGAAAATGTACTTACAGTGATAAACAAGATAAAAGAGTGATGGTTGTTGGAACAGATTTGAAGTAATATCCAGACTACAGAGGAATACCAGCAGAGACAATCAATATTGCTAGAATGCACACTGAAGCTAAAAAGTAGAGTCAGGAGCAGAAGGAAGAAGAATTCTTTCCATCAGTTTACATAGTATCTCTGATCTTCTAGACCAAGCTGGAGGGAGTGGGGAAGAATTATTCATAATAAAAAGGAATTGGGATTGGTCTGAGGAAAGGATTCAAAGATACATAAAATACCACTGATAAATAAGCAACTCAGTCACTGTCAATGTACAGGGAGCTCTCTAGGCTTCCATAAAATCAAGATCATAGTATGATTAAATGGCACACTTTCAAGCTAGCAACTGTAAATGAGCTGGGCCTGGCCTAGAAATGCAAATAGTGCTAGAGCTAAGGAAACCTAAAGTGTTATACTAGGTCCCCTTAGCCACGGCTTCACTTTCCACAGTTTCAGTTACCCATGGTTGAATGTGGTCTAAAAATATTAAAAGGAAAATTCCAGAAACCATTCATAAGTTGCAAATTATGCGCTGTTCTTGGCAGAATAATGAAATCTCGCTCAGTCCTGCCCAGGATGTGAATGATCCCTTTGTTCAGTGTCTCCATGCTTTACGTGCCACCTGCCCTGAAGTCACATGGTAGGTGACTCAGTTACCAGATCAACTGCCACAGTATCACAGTGCTTGTGGCTCAAGTCACTCTTAGTTCACTTAATACTGTCCCCAAAGCACAAGAGTAGTGATGCTGGTCATTTGGATATGCCAAACAGAAGCCTTAAAGAGCTTTCTTCAAGTGAGAAAGTAAGTTTTCGACTTTCTAAGGAAAAAAAAAATGTATGCTGAGGCTGCTTAGATCTATCGTAAGAATGAATCTATCCATGTAATTGTTAAGAAGGAAAAAGAAATCCCTGCTAATTAGCTGAGAGAGATTATATTTACATAACTTTTATTACAGTATGTTATTATAATTATTCTATTTTATTATTATTGTTGCTAACCTCTTACTGTGCCTAATCTAGAAATTACACTTTAACGTGTGTATGTATAGGAAAAAGATAGTATATAGTATATATACATAGTAAAGTGTTCAGGCATCTGTGGTCTTGGCTATCCACTGGGGGTCTTAGAAGATATCTCTGGTGGATGGGGCAGGGGCGAGTACACACTCTAAGTGGAACTAAGGCACTTGACTCTAAAATTTGGCAGCAGTTACCAGAGAATAATTTAAAGCTCGTCTGATCATCTCCTAATTCACATTTCCAAAAACATTCTTTTCCTTTTTTTGGAAGGAGAGGAGTTTATTCTTTCTTGTTTTGTCAATAAGCAGTAACATTTCCTGGGGAGGGAACTGTTAGTAAAAAATAAGGGTAGAAACTTGCTAGGGAGTATGATTTGAGAAAAACTAAGAAAGATAGCAAAATTCCAAGATTTATCATCAGGATTCTGTGGTTCCACATTTCTTCAATAAAGACAATGATAGTCAACAGATGTAGGAAAGTTATTTAAGGTAAGAACAAACTAAACACTTACATAGCGTTTAATTCCCACAAAGTGAAGAGTATGGCTCTGCTGGGCCCTGTGTAACGGGCCAGCTTGTGGGCATGATCCAAAGATGGCGGCCTAGGGGACGGGAAATGCGTGTGTTGGGGAAAGGAGAACTCTAGTGGCAGAGCACTCAGGGCTCAAGTCTGAGGTTAACAAAAGTCTTCTGGACATTGTTTTACTGACTACAATATAGAAAAATATAGATAGAAATATAAAAAGTATTTCAAAAGCTCATATCTGAAAATTTGGAAATGAAAAGCTAGGCTTATCTTAGTGGAAAAATATATTTGATAATTAAGATATTATATTGGAAAACCCGAGTAAAGAGTATTTTTACCTTTCTCGATGATAAATTTCAAAGAAAATAACCTAAATTACACTTTACACTTCAGTATAAATTACACAACTATACTTTAGACATTTCTAGGTTTAAAAGGCCAAATGTTAAGTTATGTTTTCTTAAAACAAGATTTTCATGTGAAGTATCTTTCAAAGACATAATTATTATTTTCTCTATATAGGTCTAACCAAGAAGAACTTTGATCACACTGATCTATTTTTACCCTTGATGAGAGTATTTCCTACTGAACTAACAAAAGATAAGGAATTAAACAAACAAACAAAAAATCATAATAGAGAAGGATACTGGAGTAGAAATCTGCCAAACTAAATTCTAGTCCTACAACTATACAGCGCCATGATCTTGACTAAATCAATTGTTTAACTAGGCCTCAGTTTCCTCATCAGTAACAAGAAGAGGTGGGATGGCACTGAGCTTCATGGTGGATTTATTTCATTTGCTACAACTTCAAAATATTACCAGCTTTCACACTACACATCAACCATAACTAGTACTCTCCACTGAAATACTGTAACCCCACAGAGAACACTGTTGATTGCCTTCCAAAGAGCAATTTTCTCTTTTCTTCTTTACTAAGAATACCAATTTTTGTATGTGCCCATTACCTTTATCAAACACTGCTTTAGCTGTAAGAATGAAATGCAATTCTGGTCAATGATACGCAATGGGAAATATGCTGTGGGCCCACTGAGAAAGGTTTAACTTAAGGAAAAAGAGAAGCACAATAAAAGGGTGCTACTCTACCAGCCCCAAGCAGAGCTGTGTGAAGGTGTTACATGGGAATTTCAGTAGAAATTAGTGCACAAAGAAGCCAGTAGGCTGAGAAGGGTTGAGGCAAAATGAATATCTGAAAACTATTTTGAAAACTTGAGTAGCTATCTCTATAATATTCTGCTGCCTGAGTTCATCTTATGCAAAATAATGAATTTCTTTATTTTTAAACCACTTTTACTGTGAATTCTGTTATTTAAGGCTGAAACAGCCCAGCTTTTAAAAAAAAAGAAAATTTTAAAAGTTAGATTATCTATATTCACCATTAGCTCTCCTCATTACTCAGTGAACTAAGTGTAGTGTAACCTCTATAAATGTTTATTATATTTATTTTTATGTCCATCTACCTGCATATGGAAATGAAAATATATTCTATGCTGAGTCCAAACAATTTCCAGATATTTTTGCTTTAAATATAAAGCACACCATGAAAGAGAGACTATGTAATAATTGTATATTTGAGCTCACAAGATTTCACAACAGGACATGCTATTGGCTCAGAAACTTATCTAGCTGATTCAACAGTTGCAAAGGATATAAAAAATAGGAAACATAAACATGAATAAATAAATCCAGTGCTGAATTTCACAGGATTCAAATGCGGACCAGTACTAGGCATCAGCATTAATACATTATGGCTAAGTTAATTTAAGGATGATATTTTTAAACTCTGCCATTTAATGTGTTGGTAAATCCAGGCTGATTAAAAGTTAGTGAATTGGAACTGGCTGGTAAAATCCTGGTAATTATGTGTTAATTGTCAATTTTCCCATTCGCCATTTCTCAAATCCTGGTCACCTCTACATCTTTAAGTAGTAGATACATTTTAATATATTTTCGCTATATAATTAAACCTCTTGAGTCAACATATGGTAGGAAATCAAAAAGCAAAGGACAGAATCATAACATAGTGAACTATATTTTCATTTTATTTAATTGATTTTAGACAGAGAGAGAGGAAGAGAGAGACAGAAACATCAATTTGTTGTTCCACTTATTTATGCATTCATTGGTTGCTTCTTTTAAATGCCCTGACTGGGGATGAAACCCACAATTTTGGCATATCAGAACAATGCTCTAACCAATTGAGCTATCTGGCCAGGGCATAAATCATATATTCTAAGTAAAGATACTTTAAGTTTTTTGTGAACCGCCAGAAAATTCTCAAGGGTCACCTTAAACACAAGTGTCCCATGCAACTTTTCCTCGTTTCTTTATTAGAATGACTTCTATCCCCTTTGCGTTCCACAAATAGCACATTGTTTCTGTGTTTATTGTGGCATTCACTGTCTGCTTTGCATCAGCTCCTTTTCATGCACTTGTCCCTCTTAGTTGGTTAACATCTTTCGAGTGTGGTTTAACCATATCTGTACCCATTGCAGGGTGTATCCAGTGTATTTCACAAAGGAAATTCAATAATTTGTACAACTGATGGAAACTGTAACATTTTTATTCTTCCAAACCAAAATCTTTTATTAGAGTTTATCTTTAAAGCCTTCTTATACAAAAACAAAAAAATAAGTAAGAGAAAAAGATCCTTATGAAATATTTATAGAATGAATGATATAAAGGCACTCACCTGTATGCCCATGCTAAGGCCAATTTCATGAAGACTATTTACAACTAACAGGCAATTGTGAAAACGCTGTTCATCATTTTTTGGTTCTGTGTACATATGTACAAAATAAGGCTCAATCTGAAAAAGACAACAATCAAACCTTTCCATAACGGAATAAAAGTGGCTGCTTTTTAACTGTATTTCTCTGTAATTCAGCAAAGAATCGTTTAAATAGTAACATTTGTCTGTTGCAGACTACTGAAATCAAAATACAAGAATAAACAAAAGGGGGATGTTAGCCATGCAGAGTCAGATGTTTACTTAAAATCAAAACATTTAACAGAATCAGTTCGCAGAAAATACTTTACATTTTAATGACTAAATTCTTTTAAATAATAGAAGAACATTATGCGTAAAAATAACTTACCAGAAATGGGCAATAGGCTCCCAACACTGTGGCAAAAACAAGGCCATCTAAAAGATCTTTGTCAAAATCTATTATCCATCTTTCTCCGGGAATATTACCTGTTCCAAAAAAAAGAGAGAGAGAGCAAATATAACCATAGCTTTACTTCTCTAAAAAGATATCAAGGAAACATTTGCCTTTGCTTGGAAAAGAAAAATCATATTATTTTGGAAATAAAAACAAAACTTAAACCTCAGAAGCTTAATACAAGGAGGTACAGCTGCAAGGTTTTATAAGCAACTGCAAAAGCTGTCTCCTTTATTTATACTTGAATCACTTTGAGGAATATATTACAATGTAGTAATGGAAGAAAAATCCAAGATTTCAAAATTACTCATTCTTTAGAGGACTTTGGAGATCACGTGTTTGATCATGATCATCACATGGGTAAAGGGGCTCAGAAGACATGGAGTTGTTTGTGACTCTAAAGTTTTAGGGACAGATCCCCTATTTGTTGCCGAAATTCCTCTACAAGAAGGGTATGTGGAAGGGGTTGGAGATTTATGGCTAAAAAAAGCCAAGCCGTAATTGACCTATAAAAGATAACACAAGATAGAGGAGCAATCAAAGGATTTCTCAGTTACTAAAATGACTACTATGCTGAAGCCAGAAGAAAAGACAAAGTATCTGGACATTTAGCAAATATCTGAAAGACTGTCTTATATTAGGGAGAGAAGTGGTGTTTTAGACATCGGAAATCACTGCTATGCTGGATGCGACATTTCCTTTTTTCAAGTGTTTCCAGAAGGGCCCAGATTATTACTGGATTGAGATGATTTCTTGTCTGAAAACAAGGGAAAAATTGGTGATCTTCATAAATCCCCTCAAATCCTTTAATTCTCACTTTCTGTGAAGAACAAACCATGACAAGATATGTTCATGATATGTGTATAAATTCCACAAAGCAGGACTGCTTTACATCTGAACTGCAAGGCTCAGTTTTCTCTGAAACCACAGATGTCCTGGATCCTTCACAGAAACAGTGCCCAGTACTTTTTCACGTGAGATGCTACAACAGTGAATGTTTCTATTGGACTTCCACAGCATATTATTGCAAAATCAACCTAGCAAACAAAAATCAGTAGGAATTTTCCACTAATATATAGCAAACAACACTCTGCACTATATTTTCCAAAGTATTTTTTTCCTGATAGGAAGCTCCAAATAACTGTATTTGATATAAAATGTGATACATCAAAGTAATAATTTTAAAATGCACATTTCTAGTTGGCTATATAATTATAACTTAAATGTGCTTCTTTTAATGTACACTTGCCACTCATGTCTTCTAATAACAGCAAAGGATCTCACTTTTGTAGCCAATACTCATTTTTCTATGAACTAGAAGCAATTCTAACTAATCTGAAAAAGACAATTTACTAGCCTTTTAAGTTGATGGTGAATCAGTCATTTAGCAGGAGATATAGACCGTGTCCACTAAATATCCCATCCTCATCTTGTACCAACATTAGAGAAAGGATAGAAATTCCCCGGAAGGAGTTTAACGTCTTGTGGAGGAAAGGTCACCCCCATAAAGAGAAACAACTAATGAAAAAATCTCCCTAACTGGAAGCTAATGAATAGATAACAATATAGCAAAAACTAAGTGTTATGCTGTCACTATCAACTCCACCAACTGCAATCCAGCACCACAGGATCCATTATGGCTTTCCCCACTTCCTTATCTCTTAACTTCTTCAACAGTTAAAAACCTGGCTCTCGTTATTCACAATATATGTACTTATTTGTTCAACACTAGTATACACATAAAGTACTTTCAGAATTGCACACCCATACCCCTGGCAAGAAAATAATGTGTAGGCACAGTTTGGTTTTTTTGTCTTTAGTTCTACAGTATGCAGTCATGATATTGTTTTCAAAGTATATTAAGTCAGCTCCTTTCTTTTCCATTTCATTCAGTGAAGTTGTCAGACATTTGTAATTCAGTTACATTTGTCATTCGTCACGTTCATTTGTCACAGTCTGCATTCCATCCTGGATTACATCCATGCCTTTGGTTTAAAAAAAAAATGCATGTACTAACATTCATTCACTCTTCGTGGTGTAGCTTCTAGGACTTCGAGATATATATTGTCATGTATTTACCACCACAATTCCATACAGAAAAATTTCATTACCCCTTATCCCAAAACGCCCATGTGCATTTTAGGTCAACATATTGATATTTACCAAAAAAAAAAAAAGTGTGGTGGGATTTTCATTGGAGTTACATAATTTTGACATCTCAAAAACAGTCTTCAGTTCTACGTGCATGCCATATTTCTCTATTTATTTAGTTCCCTTTGATGTCTTTCATCAGTGTTTTGTAATGTTCAGCATATATATATATTGTGCATATTTTGTTAGCTTTATACTTAAGCATTTTATTATATGTTAAATTATACCTATATATTTATTTCAAATTCCAACTGTTTACTGTCATTATATAGAAATAGAATTTACTTTTATATATTGGTCCTATATCCTACAACGTTGACAAACTCATATACTAGTTCTAGGAGCTTTTTTGTGGGTTGTTTGGGATTTTCTACTTCACTGTCATGCCAAATCCCAGCCCCTTTCCGGGGGTGGAGGTGGTATGAGTGTCCCTGTGTGTTCAAGTTTCTTTTTGCAGCTGCAGTGAGTTTTCACCATGGCCCTAAGGATGACAGTATGCGTTGCCCTTCTCCCCACAGATTAAAGTTTTTGTTCTATAGGAAATACAGGAGTCTGCACAAAATGCTTGCCCCTCCCCCAGGTCTGCATTACAGGAGGTATAGTCTACAGACACTCCAGCCATTTCTGTGAGCAACCAGTGAGGTTTGTGGAGCACAAACCTGCAAGAGAACACAGTTTCCCCCTTAACTGTGACCCCCAGGGATTTCGTGCTCTCTCACTAGCGTCCACTTGGCCTCTGCCAATTCACTGAACACCCTAACTCAACTCTTCTCGTCAGTGTCTAGCTGTCTCTACCACAAGTACACAGTTGTTATCACTCCATTTCTTCCTGTCAGAACCTACTCCTCGTTGGACTTTGGGCCACTTTGTTGGCCTACAGCTTCAGTTTCCTAGGGGAGCTTTAAAACACTGAGAATTTACTGTTGGTATGGCTTCTGCTGTTGTAACAACAGCCAAAGAAAACAAAAGCAAAGAAGCTCTTTCTAGTGTTCTACCTCCCTGAGAGGAAGCAGTGGCAGCCACAAATTTTTGTTTCACCCATCGCAACTTTGGCACTCCTCTGACATTACTTGTCAAACCAGTGGCGTGGGCTATAGCTGCTCAGACATGGCTCTCAGTATGAGCAGGATGGCAATAATGCTCCAGGGCAATGTTGGGAAGAGGTATGGACTAAACTCCAAAGCTCTTCTCTAACCTCTGATTCCAGGCCTGTAGCTGGCCATTCATACACAAAGCTGTTGCCAAGGAAGACCTACCACAATTTACCACAGCCTGAGGTATGGCAAGGATTTTATTTTCATGTAAGCTCCTTTGATCCAGGCTACTCTCTCTACATGCTCCTTCTAAGGTTTTGTTACCCATAGTGTGCTGTGTGAATCAGCAGCACCTTCAACTGGAAGCTTGTTGAAATGAAGAACTTCAGGCCCCAATCAACACCTACTGAAACATCAAAACAGTTTAACAAAATCTCCAAGTGGTAATCTATTCACATTACTGTCTGAAAAGTACTAATCTTGAATTGTTTATTATTATTTTTTATTTTTAATTGCTTTTTAAGAAAGATTTTATTTATGTTTTTATTGTATTTAAGATTTTACTTTTTTTTTTTAATCTTACAAAAAAGTCTGAAGTCAAACAAAGTAATTTACAGGGTAGGAGTTATCATCAGACCAATCTCAGTTTTTCAAAGCTCTTTTACAGGCAAAAGACGATGGAGTACTGTTCACAGATTCAGAGAAAAATAAAGGGTGATGCCCAAAATTGATTCTCAGTCAAGATCCATTCACGTATAAATTGAAGATATTTACAAAGAGAACCCAGAGACGAGAGTTTCTTGAAATGATAATTAGGCACACAAAATAATGAGGAAATCCAGCTATCTCATAGCTAAATCAAAAATAATTAAACATGGTGAATCCAGATAAAATGACACATCATTGAACACTGACAAAATAGAATGTGAGTGTTCCAAGTACTGATAATGGAGGCATAAAAAACCTAACAAGAAAACTAAGGCAGGAAAGTAAGAGGAAATAAGAGTAATAATTACCTCACCTGTCCAATCAATGACTGTCAATGCTATGTAAAATCAAAACAAAAACAAGAAAACCTCAGAAAGTATAATGCTATTCATAAATTTCTTCTTTTAAATTTGAGGCTTATTTTAGGAAACATGTCTTGTGCTGGGCAAATATTTATGTTACATGGTATCTTTGTATTATTTAACCTTATTCTCTATTTCTATATTCGCACATGTTTGAGTTTTTTACCTTCGCATTGTGCATCAGAAGCACCTAAAGAGCTTTTGAAGCTGCACGTGTACAGGCAACACCTCAGAGCTTGCATTTCAATTGGTCTGGAGTGGGACATCAGATATATGTACTTATGTATTTGTTCTATATTTTAAAAATGCTAAATTATGTGTATATGTGTGAATGTACATATCAATATGGTATCATAATCACACAATGTTTATGACTCTATTTGGTTAATGATTTTTTCAGTTCAGTGAGGAACTAAGGGTTCACTTTAATTAATCAACTTGTGAAGACACTGTGAATGATAAAAAAAAATTCTCATCTGCAACTCAAGAGACAAGGCTCATTACTTTTTTTAATTTTATTTTTCAATTACAGTTTACATTCAATATTATCTTGTATTAGTTTCAGGTATATAGCACAGTGGTTAGAAAGACTAGGCTCATTTCTAAGGCCCAGGTAGCTAACTTCCTTCTTTCTATTAGAATGTAACTTACGTAATAGAAAGGATTTAGGCTCTTTTGTTCTCTGCTGCATCTCTAATCCCTAAAACAGTGCCAGGCATATAAATTGGCAATTAAGAAATATTTGTTTAAAAATGATTTCTTTAGTAGATTCTGTTT